TCCAAAACTGCATCCTCGTGGTGGGCCGGTGGGGGTCCTTCTGCATCCTTTCAAGCCACGTGGCCAAGGCGGCATTGCTGCTGGATGGTCAAGAGTCTTCTCTTTCCCAAGCTTCGCAGTCCTAAGAGCAAGAGCGAGAGCCTCTTGTGGCTCTTACTCTCTTTCCCTCCTGACCCAGAGCTCCCACTGGGCGAAGAGCAAGGCCGACTGCCCCTGCACCTGGGTTTAAATCCTGGCCCAGATCTTCCTCCATAACCCTTTCCGAATCCGCCCACACTGGGTCACACCTGCCAGCAGCCTCGCCTCTTCCGCCTTTCTCGGCAGCCGGCAGCCTTAGTCAGTTCGGGTAAGCGTGGTCCCGTGAAGCAGGAGCCGCCTCCAAGCCTCTCTGCAGGCACAGCAAGCCACGTCCATCTCCCTGCTGCAGCGCACCTGTGCAGCTACTTAACAGTACTAAAACACCTGCCAAATTCTTCAGATACGCAAAGTAACTCTCAAAGGGCCTGCTCTGCTTCCCCTTCCCCCAGCCAGGTCGTGGAGGCTTTGGGACTTTTTTCCCCACTATATTCCGGGGGTTGGGGGGCTTCTCTGATTCAAGGAGACGCCTAGCCCGAACACCTGAAGTTCTGGACCTCACTCCACACCTGTTACACAGTCTTCTATGCACTACTGTCCCAGCAGCCCAGGCAAGTTTCCACGGGTACACACCAAGCACCCCTAGTGAGAGTTTTAACTGCACTGCTGCCACTCATGTTTGAAGTACAACTGCGATGAAGCCATCAGTGCCAGCCCACCTGAGGGAGGCCAAACTCAACACCAGGGCTGCTCTCTCAGGCCGCTTCCTGCACCACCTAGAGCCGATCAGGTTCCCCGGAAACCAGAACCAGCTGTGCCCACAGGAAATCTACTGAGGGCCTGGGGGAGGAGTTGGGGAGCAAAGCAACAGTTAAAGCACCCAAAACATTTCACAGTAAGTCCTCTAAATGGAGCTGCAATGAATCAAACACATTCCTTCCAACAATGCATTCTGATGGTGGAAGAAGTATTTAAGTGGAACCTTGTAAAATGCTGATTTCATTCAGCTGTGAGTGGAGGACAAGCAGGGTAAGTAGAAAGTGAAAAAATGCCACAGGTGTGAAATTACAGTCACATCTGAACAAGGCATAGAGGGGAAGTGGGGGAACATGACACTCTAAAGGGCAGGCCGGGGAGAGGCAGGAGTACAAGAGGATGTTTCCACAGATAAACCTTGCAGGGAGCAAGGACAAGAGCTCAGCTAATTCTAGCAAAGGCAAGACCAAAGTGGCAACAAATTGAAGGCAAACAGCCATTATGAAACTACCACAAATGCGAGGGAGGGAGAAGTCAGCCCTGAATAAGCAGTGCGAGCTGAAATCCAACACCTGGCAGGGTTTGCTGTGACTGGACATAAGGGTTTTATATTTACTGGATAAAAATAAATTGTTTACCCATATACTCTTGACTAGCATGAATAGCATCAAAACAGATCTATTTTACCATTCAGTTACCTGTCCTGAAAGTTACCAAGACTTCTAAGAGATCATGGGAAAAGGGAAACATTTCATGTGAATAAGTAGGATTTTAACAAGCATCTATCTTCAGGGGCCTCAAACTTATAATTTGCAATGTCTGTAAAAATATTTTTATTTTACTGAAAACACCATAATCACCTCTAAGCTCTATCAAAAAATATGGATAAATGCATACTAAGAAATGTTATTTGATCTCTATAGGCACTTACACAAAACACAGATGTAGTCTAATATGCATTTAGTTATATGACTGATCCTATCAGAGAACCAGGTCAGCTGACAACCTTGAAATCACCCTAAAAACTACTCCCTCAGTATCTACTGAAGATGTTCAGTGGCATTACCCAACAATGAAATGACAATGAAAATCCAAGTCAGATGAACCCCATTCTGAATCTAGTTCAAAGGTGTCTGAGTTAGGGCAAAAAGCTAAACTCCTAGTCACAAAAGACCCAACCACACAGTAAGATACAATGGTTTAGAGAACAAAAAGTTTATTTCTTTCAGGTTGAGGTGAGTGGCCTCAGCTGATGGTGCAGCTGTTTCTTTAAGTCACTCTGGGACCCAGGTTCCTTCCTGCACGTTGTTCCACAATCCTCTGGGACACTGTTATCACTTGCAGGGTTGGAAAGGAGTCATTTCAGGTTCTACCTGGAGGTTGCAGGGTTGGAAAGGAGTCATTTCAGGTTCTACCTGGAGGGAAGGCAGGAGGCAGCCAGCTAGGAAGCAAGCTGGATGTTCCCAGGCCTACCGTGGAAGTGGCAAACACAGCCCACCGACAGGGACCTGCCACTCGGCCACACCTGACTGCAAAATGACTGAGCCATGTGGTCTGATTGTGTGTCTCACAGCAGCGAAAAACACTCCGCTGCAGCAAATCAGGCATCTTGGCCACAAAGGTCTTTGTAGCAATACAATATGCCCATGGTTAGGAAGTGAAAAGTGGTCGCCATGAAAAGTCAGAACAGTTACTGCAGAGCAGGGAGAAGGTTATCAGTGAGAAGGAAATTCTGAGGTGTTGGCAACGTAAGCAGAAGTGACATGTGTATCTTCTTTATATGAATGTTAAAGCTGTGTTTTTAGTTTCTGCATCTCTTTTCTTACAGCAAAGGTTTTAAAAGACCAGTCTTGCAAGCTTATACAATCCAATCCTTACTTTGATGTCTCTCCAGATACTTCAGTTAGTCTAGATCAGAAAAGTAGAGCCCATAGTGACCTATTAGTAATGTTTGGTTTTACTTTAGTGTTTGTAAAAGCAATTATTTGTAGTTTATTTCCAATGATTTCTGAGTTCAAGTTCGATATTTATTTGGTATGAAATGGGCAGCATATGACAAGAGCTCAGGAATCATTAGGTCTTAGGTCCAGCATCATTCATCAGTAACCTACTAGCAACCCAACTTTAATTCAAATGCCTATGAAATAATAAAAATAATAATAAATAAATAAATAATAAAATAATAAAACTGGTGGCAGGCAGACTCTAACTAAGGTGGCCTCATGATCTGTGCCTCCTAGCACTCACACCCCATAAACTTCTTCTCAGGTCGAGGTGGGGCTTGTTAAATCACTTCTAAACAGGATGAAAGTGAGAGAGTGCTTGTGATGACTCTCCATAAGGCTTTGATGTCAGTCTTGCTAGGGACACACTCTTACTTTCGTCTTATATAGGTTTTAACAAAAGCTGCTTATGGTCACAACCATGTAGAAAGGAACTGAATTCTACCAAGAACCCTGTGAGCTTGCAAGTGAATGCTTCCCTATTTGAGCCTCAGACGAGAATCCAGCTCTAGCTGACACCCACTCTGTAGCCCAGCAGAAGCCCAATTAAGCTGGGCCCAGACTCCTGACCTAATACAAACTGAGATAACTGTTGTTTTAAGTCACTAAGTTTGCAGTAATGCTGTTATGTAACAGATAATACAACATTCTTGTGAAAACCCACTGTTTTTTCAAATCCAAAACACCTGACAAAATAAAAGCTTCTCTCTTTCCCTCTTCTTCTCGATAGATTTAGAGTAGTTTAAGAACATGATGAGAGGCCATGAGACGGGCTGACTGCCAGAAATTTTCTCAACAGACACTCGCATTCCAGCGACCAGAGGCATTTCATTATTATGAGTTTTTAAGAGAAGTACGTTTCCCCCTGTCAAGTGCATACTGCTTTTATTTTAGAAAGCAAGCATACAGAACAAAGGAGAAGGCTCTCGGTGTTTAAATTTTTACTTTTCTTTACTACTCCCCCCACCAGCATCATTTCCCCTAAAACACTAAGTATGTAGTCCACACCCAAAAATCCTTACCAGTTCATTTATTAGTGCCTTCTGTATGAGACACACAAGCAACAGATGCCCGAATATGGATAGACTGAAGTGTTAAGTGCTACTATACCTTAATTAAGAAACTTCATTTGTAACAGCATTTGCAGTTTGTCAATACTCTCAATTACTTTGTCTCAATATAATTAATTATATCTACTCACTTATAACTTACTCTGGAAAACGAATTATTAGTCCAGATTTATGAATTTAAAATTAAAAATTACTTTGCTATTTTTTTAAAGAGGTGTTCCAAACATTTCACTCACACTTGTATGTCATATCATAAGCATATATACACTTGACAGAGCAATTTTTCCTCAAGAGCTTACACATTTCTATGTCAGTATAACACACATATCATCAAAAACACTTCTCTAGTCTACCACACACAGTAAGCAGATACAGCTGTCTTCAGTATCTGTGGCAGATAGGTTCCAAGACCCCTAGGGCTACCAAAATCAGTGGATGCTCAAGCTCCTTACTTAAAGTGGCATAGTATTTACATAGAACCTACACTGGCATAAAGACTACAGCAAGGTATGCCTACACATCACTTCATTTGTGTGGACTCAGCAAAGTGCTGCGTGTGTGGCAAATTCAAGTTTTGCTGCTTTCCAGAACATTCTGGGATTTTTATATTTTGATCTGCAGATGGTCAAATCTGCAGATGGTCAAATCTGCAGATGGTCAAATCTGCAGATGCAAAACCCACAGGTACGGAGGGCTGACTGTCCCATGTACAGGTGCAATGAGAGCTAAGGCTGAAGCAACAAGCACTGTCAAGGAGCGCCGCCCCCCCGCCGCCCCCCGCCATTTGAGGTTACTTTAAACAGCTGATTGGATTCTAAGGGAATGTCTGACAGAAATGTGTGGAATAAGGAAGAGTGTTACAGTTTAAAAGCAACTAAGGGCTAAGAGAATACGTGAGTTTAGTGAGCAGCTACTCAGTCATCCATCACTGAATGAGTAAAATGAGGGGAAGCTGGGTTCTGTTTGTAGGCAGGAACTTCCCCACATGACCAAGTTCCATGGAATAATTTTGCTGCATTTCATTTTCAAACCTTAGTCTTAGAATTATTAACACCGAAGTAACAAAACACAGAGAAGGTTCATAAAAATTACTCACTCTTTTTATTCTCTCTCCAATTCCTAGACTCCACTAAATTGCCTGAATGCATAGCAGACATAATCTTCTGGGCAACACTGGAGAGTGGTATCTTACAGAGATCAAAGCCTACAAAGGCCTCATAATTTTCCATTTTCGTAAAATCCTAAATATAAGATAAACATAGTACCTACATATTAATTTTGAGACTTCAATATTAGACACCATTAATTTGAAATTTTTTATGTACTGAGACTTTCATAAAAATTTACTACATTAAGAACCAGAATAAATATTCCCCATAACACATTGCATAGTAAGAAGGAAGCAATGGTTAGAGGCTCATTTGGGGTATTATGATAAATATGTGACAAAACAAAGAACATTTTCTAGGTAACCAATTTTGAAGCAAGCAATTTACTCAACTACTACCTGAGGTTTCAAACAGCTGTTATAATCTTCAACTATACAGATCTAATAACAGTTATTTTCAACTGACTTGGAAATACAACAGACACACAACCTGACATCCTTTCACCAACTCTGCTCAGCAGTACTGGCCCTGGGGCTGAGCAGATGAAGGTCTGGAAAAAAACTATGTACAAATCATCCAGTATTTGGTTAGATAGCTAACATATTAGACACTAAACAGAATTTACTATTTCATTAGACAAGAAACCAGGTAACATATTTTTTCCACATTACTGAAAGAAAATTTTTAATTTCTCTATTCCAAGGTAGAGTAGGGGGGAAAAAAAGGTAAAAAAAAAAAAAAAAAAAAAAAGAGGAGTCAGTAGCAAAATTTTACACAAAATTCTTTAAAAATTTTTTTTGAGAGAGAGAATCCTCTATGTGCAAGAGAAACATCAATCGGTTGCCTCCTGCACACCCCCAACCAGGAACATGGCCTGCAACCCAGGGATGTGCCCTGACCAGGAATCAAACCAGCGACATTTCAGCTTGCAAGCAGGGGCTCAACACACTAACCACACAAGCGTAGGATAGACAAAATTTTTGCTACAAAATTTTAAGACTTCATAAGTTTTTAAATAATGTACAAATACTAATTGGCAAGACATTTTTGCTCAATGGACTAAAAATTTATCACAGGTTATGTTACCTACACATACCCATTTTGATAGTCATAGTTGAAAATTTCCATAAACATCACTTACAATATAGTTTTTAGAGAGGAAGGGCAAGTTAATATATTCTTGGAGCAAGAATATTCTTGAGGTAATACCTGTATCTTTTCTCTATAAAGCTTACACGGTATATAACCCAGGCCAAATATAAACCAGGCATTAAAGCAGCATTTGATGTAATAACTGATAAGTTACTTGATGTTACTTTACACCAACTCTTAAATATGATTTCTAATTCTCCAAATACTACACCTGTATCCCAACTGATACAATCCAACATTTAAGTATTTTCACACCAAAGAAACAGATTAAAATAGCATTATGCATTCCTTGAGTAACCACCTCTATGGAATTTCTGAAATTTCATTTGACAGTCATTCATGTGTAAGTCACACTGAAATCAAGTAACTGTTGAAATGTCTTATAAAAATGTTGAGATCTCAGTACCTAGTCTGTAAAATGAACAATAGCACATGAAGACTTGACATTCATTGTGGTCTAAGTAAGACTAATAAGAGTCTCAAAGACTGTAACAGAAAATTATGAGAATACAGTTAGAGTGGCAGAATTTTATTTTACAAACAGACTTAGCTATTCCATATATTAAAGTCTACAGCTTTAACAATGCTGATTCAAAGTTCTACAAAAGTTTAAAATATTTAACAGCACAAAATCTCTATTTCTAAAAAAAAAATTAGTAAAGATACGAGTCTATTTAAAAATATTTGCATTATATAATACAGGAGACTCACCCCCGTTTATCCCTAGGGAATACATTCCAAGACCCTAGTGGATGCCCAAAACCAGAGAGAACCCTCCACATGCATTTTCACTTGAAGAACTTTATGGCTTCCCTTTGGCATATCCGAATTGCCAGCATCACTGCTCTTGCACTTTGGGACCATTATTAGGTAAAATAAGGGTGACTTGGACACAAGCACTGAGACACTGTGACAGCTGATCCCATAACCAAGACAGCTACTAAGTGACTAACAGGCAGGTGGCACACAGTGTGAAGATGCCGGATAAAAGGATGATTCACGTCCCAGACTGGATGGAGCGGGTCAGCATGAGCTTTCATTCACATTACCCAGAAGGGCACGCAATTTAAAACTTGTAAGTTGTTTATGCCTGGAATTTTCCATGTAATCTTTTCAGACCATGGTGACTGCAGGTAAATGAAATAACAGAAGGCAAAACTGCAAATAAGGGAGCTGCTATGGTAATACTTTTTCCCTAAAAGTAAAAAGTTACCAGGACTAAGTGCCACCAAGCAAATGTTCAAGTCATATAAAGCACTGGTACTCCGAACATAAATATTATATAAAGGAGAAAACAAGTTTATATAAATCTGGAACTCATTAAATATTCCACTGACCTCAAATTTAAAATTTTTATAGTGTTAATTAGCTATAGTCTCCTCCTCATATGTAAAACATTAAAATATAACATATGTAGTAAAGATTCAGTTTTTAGTAACTTTCAATCTTTGAGACCAACAGCCTTAACCTTAGATTGGTTTTCTAAATTCTCAACAATCTTTTTCAGATAATCTCCATCTTTTAAAAAATATACATATAACTCTCTTTCCATTTGATGCAGTTTATTAGATGCCAAAATTTTTCTTTTTGTCTTCACATCAGCAAGAATATCAGTAAGAAGATGATTTAGCTTATTCAGCTGAGACTCAACTTGATGAAATCGCTCTGTTAACTCCTAAAAGGAAAATAAAAATGTTTTTAATGCAAGAGCTCTATTTGCAACACCAACTATAAATTTTAAATGTTATTTACATGAAGAAAATATAAATGATATTCCCACATTCACAGAATTTTATAAGACAATTATCTATTGGATCAACACAAAAATCAGTAACACGAGTTTTAAAAAACTAATCACAGCTACCACTTCACACCCATTAGGAAGGTTACTACATATTTTTCCATGTAGGAAATTTTCCCTACAGATATGAAGGCAAAAAAACATTTAAGGATCATTTATTCATAATGATAAGAAGTTCCCTTCACCCCCCCCCCAAAAAAGTGATTTTATCAATTTAGTACTTCAGATCGGTAAAAATAAATAAAATTAGAATTCTACTTCATGTCATACACAAAAATAAAACCCCCGGTGGATTAAAGAACTAAAATTGCACAGAGTAACCTTAAGATAAAGTAAAAGGGACTATCATTATGAAGGGCAAACTTTAACAACACACACAAGATATAAAAAAGAGCAAACCATAGAGTAATAAATAACATCAAAATTAAAATCCAAAAAAAAGCCAAAAACAAACAAACGAAAAAAAACTATAGAAAGACTAAAGACAAGCCACAAATAGGGAGTTAAAATACACACACACACACGCACACACGCACACGCACACGCACACACAAATCAAAGGATCAATATTTAAAATACACTAGTATCCCTTACAAATGATTTTTTTTAAAGAACCTGAAACAGGCAAAGGAGATTAACAAGCAATTTTCAGAAAAAGATGAATGGCCAGTAAACAACTGAAAGGAAGCACAACCTTTCTAATAATCAGGGAAATGCACATTATAACACCAGTGGGATGCTATTTTGTATCCACAGATTGAGACAGAAGTCTTAAATCAGACAATGCTATGGGACAGAAAAGGATATATATAAACAGCATCTCTTAGACACTGCTGGTACAATATGGCATGACCACTCTGGAAAACAATTTCATAAGTGCTGTGAAACAGAACCTGTGATCTAGCAACTGCACTTCTGAGTCACAGCAAGAATGGGGGGGGGGGGTGCGCGTGTGTGCGCACGTGCGCAGACACATGAATATGCAACTATAAGACATGCAACAGGACTATCCATAATAGTGTGATACACAAGAGCAAAAACTGGAAATAACATAAATGTCAACAGAACAGATAATTAAATCATGGAGTTTCATACAATGGCATGCTAAATATATAAAAGAGAAAACCACAAAAAACCTATAGCTTTGCATTTATCTACATGGATGAATCTCAAAATCATTAAAAAACAAGCACGCTACTCAACAACATACAAAATAATAATATGTATGTAAAGTTCAAAAACATACGAAACTGAACTATAGTCTAGGATTATATATATGTCTAATAAAACTATAAACAAAAGCAAGCAAATAATAAAAGCACAGTAGTTACCCCTTGAAGAAGGGAGGGGAATGCTAATAGGAGAAGCTAAGAATACACAGTATTTTAACAATGTAATGCCAAACCTCTATTTGCTAAAATAGGTGAAAAATAGAGGTTGTTTTACTATTTTTTTAAATTCTTAGCATTAACATTACATTTTCCTGTATGTCTGAAATACTTTATGAATTTTAAAAACTTAGTGTATGCTATCAAGACTATCTGAAAAATATATTTATATGTGAAGAAAAAACAGTAAGATTTTTTTTAAAGCATTTTAATTACTACGGTAAGCACCCACCTGATCACTAAGCAAAAGCTGGTTTCCTCCTTGATATAAAACATCACAAAGCAGGTCCACATCATTATTAAGTTTGGACAGAAAGTAAGAATGTTCTTGAGCAGAGAGTACCAACTGATCTTGTACTAAAGAAACATCTTGTTTTAATTTCTCAGCCACTTCTTCCAGGTTTCCATGGGTTATAAACAATTCTTTTTTCTTATTCTCTCCTTCTAAAAGTTGATAAAGCCTAAAATGTGAAAATAAAAATTAGAGGAAAAAACCCCTCAAGTCAGTACATTTTTCAAAATTATAATCCATTGTATTTGGGGCATCTTTGTGCATAACTAACAACTTAAAAATATTAATGTCTGCTGTTAAGCCAAGCAGCTAAAAACATCGCAACAAAAACTCTCACTAGAGAAATATATACTCAAATTATTGTATCTGAATCCCCAGTTTTCCTATACTAAAAAAAAAATTCTTTAACTGCCATTAACCTACTTTAACCAAAGTACATTTCTTTCTTTCTTTCTTTTTTAGATTTTATTTATTTATTTTTAGAAAAAGGAAGGGAGAAAGAGACGGAGGGAAACATCAATGTGTGGTTGCCTCTTGCGTGCCCCCTACTGGGGACCTGGCCTGCAACCCAGGCATGTGCCCTATGCTGGGAATCGAACAAGCCACCCTCTGGTTCTCAGGCTGGCGCTCAATCCACTGAGCCACACTGAGCCCAAAGTACACACGAGCTAGGGCCCAAAGTACACTTCATAGATACCGCCCCCCAAAACACTTCTTTCACAGAATAAACTGTTCTGGCTGTTATATGAAACCTAGGTCAAGTCAACCTGAAACTCTATTTTCACATTAATACCTATGTTAAAGGATTGTGGTGGATTTAAGAGATAATTTGAAAATATAAAAAATGTAAAAATGTTTAACAAGAAAACAATAAAGAGCTACATAAATAGTAACAGTAAACTCGCTACTCCAGTCCTGTCTGTATTTGGTTGACAAATTAAATTTCTGATGAGCCATGAGGCCACTTCAACATTTCAAACATTAATGGCAGAAAACTCCTACTGGGCAAATAGAAAATTGAGAGGCAACACTTTCTATACATACTTGACCAAAAGGGTCTGCTCTTTTTCTTATAATTAAAAATGTTCATACATACGTAACATAGTTACGTATGTATGTATTTGTGTGTGTATATATATTTTTACAATTATTTTAACAAGCCCTGGCTGGTATGGCTTAGTGGATTGAGTGCCAGCCTGCAAAGCAAGGGGTTGCTGGTTTGAGTACCAGTCAGGTCACGTGACTGGACTGTGGGCCATGCCCCTGGTAAGGCGTGTGCAAGAGGCAACCACACACTGCTGTTTCTCTCCCTCTCTTTCTCCCTTCCTTCTCCTCCAAAAATAAATAAATAAAATCTTAAAAAATAAAATTATTTTAACAGGTTTCAACAGAGTCCATAAAACTGGTTCAAGCCCAAGGCTGCCAATTTTGTTCTTGTGGGCTGAAACCACACAATTCCAGGGAACACTATTCACATAAATCATGTCAATACCATCGTCTGAAATTGTGCAATGAGGCTATGAAACTGTGCTATGTATCTCATTTCTTTAACAACAACAACAACAACAACAGAGGATCAGGTGATTTTCCTCTTGTTCTAGAGAAGAATCAGTAGGATCCAGATTTTTGAGGCCTTTGACTATTTTAGACCTCCAATTTCAGTATCCCCATACCATCCAATTGCTTAGATGTCCAGAAAAGGTGGGGAGCTAGCATTCATTCTCACTGATTCACCTGGCTACACACAGAATTGAAGTCTTCCTCTACCGCGACCTTCTCCAAAAGAAATATATACTGTACACTAAGCTGTATTCAAACTTCCTGCAGTAAACTCCTGCCTTAAATTTAAAATAAGACAAGTAAATAATGGTGTCAAAGATAAGATCTGGTATATATTCATGCCTCCAAGCCAATCCTTTCAGCTCTACAAAAGCTACTTCCACATTTAACATATAATAGATGGAGGAAAACATTAAAAAGGAAAAAAAAAGCATGTAAAAATGGGAGAATAAAAAGGCCAAAAATGGAGTACAAAGAATTTTTTAACCTTCCTCTATTTCAGTTCAAACTTTCTGCAGTATTCTACAAAAAGAAAAATAATTACTCACTACAGAAATAATGAAGCATACCTGTGAGTAGAATAATCCTTGGTATCAATAATATTCCTTGCATTTATCTGCTGAGATATTGATGGGTCAGCTAGCATTTCTAATCGCTGGTGGAGTATCATATTACTTCGATTAAGTTCTTGAACCAAATTTTCAAGTTGACGATGTATGTCCCGATGCTTTCTCAATTCAATTTCATATGATAATTGCAGAAGTTCAAATGATGCCTTTTGCTTTATGAGCTGATTTAAAACTAACTCTTGTTTTTCTGTATAATAGTCTTGCTTGGCAATCTGCTGATCAAAATCTCCTTTTACAACTGGCATATTCAATAACTGGGCATTCTCTTTTACCACAGCAGGCAAGCTTTTCTCTTTTATATGAGTTATTTGTTCTTCAAGTTTCAGAATCTGACTGTTCAAGCTAGAAATTTTAGCATCCAAATGATCTTTTCCAAGAACCTACACAAAGAAAGCAATTACATTTCATGCTGTATATATACAGTTCAAAGTTTTAAAATTATTTTCACTTTCCATTTTAGGTTAGCAGATAACATGCTCAATAAAATTTCCTATTAGCAAAAGCCAAAATCACAGGAAAAGTGTGGACCAAGTCAAGGGTAAAGCCAGTACGAATCACTAAATTTTAACACTATTACTGCCATACGCATACAGTAAAGGCTACCAACAGAGATCTCGTCATACTTTCCTTAATCAATAAAAATTGTTAGCACACTACTAAATGACTGCAAATGCATACTATTTAAATTTTTTCAAAATTAAAATAATCTCAGTAGTTGTTCTGCCAATTTTGTCAGCAGCTTTTCACAATTCTACAGAAAGAAAGGACTTCATACATTATTCCAAAGCTTATCAGTTTTAAGTAACTAATTTGGTGCTGGTATTTAGTTTCAGAAAGTTGTATTTTTACTCAACTGTCTAGGGGTCAAATTATCTAGAAAGCAAGCTTCCCAAGACTGCAAATGGATATCTGGAATACATCTATGCAGTTTCAACCAAGAAGCAGGGTTTCAGTCCAATGAACCAGATCTCTAATGTCATTAGCACCATACTCTGGTCTGAGCAAACAAGGTAGAAGACACACAGCACAGCAATAAGGTTCATTACTCATACAACACAATAAAGGAAATTCCAGTGTGTCTGTATCTAAACCAACACAAATCTGAAATTCAGAATACAAAACTACTTTGTTCAAAATTAGTTAAATATTGTGGTTGGGGTCATAATTACTATTTCTGTCCATTAATAAGAGGATCTTTTCATACAGAACACTGACACCTATCACCACTAAGCTCTGAACAAAGAAATCTTTTTAAAGACACTATATCCCCTGCCCTAAAACACTGTAATTATCAATATTATATCCTCAGTACTAACAGCAATTACAATATGAATCCAGCCTAATTTCTCATACTTACCTTGCTAGTGAGGCTATGAAGATTCTCCTCTGCCCATTTTATTCTTGACTTCATGCTCGAATTACTTGCTTTCAAGTGAATTAACTGATGTTGAGTGCAAATGTACGCTAGCTGCAGCCTCGCCATCTCCAGCCGTCTCTCCTCAAGGATTTCTTGACTATCACAACCAGATGGTGCCTGCATATCTAAAAGCTGGAAGTTTTCTTCATTGGAGCTTTCAACGACTTCATGGATACCCTGAAAGACCTGGTTTTTGGAATATAAGGTTAACGCTGCTGTGCTTCGCTCTTCCTGGCTGAGGTAGTTTTCCAAGGAAAACTGATATAAAAACACCGGCGGATCTGTCCCTCGGCCCGCACTCGAAGGTCTGAAGAACACCATCAGCGTCGCGAGTCCGTCCGTAACGGCCTGAAGGTCCTCCTTCACCTGAGCACTCGCGGCGTTCAGAGCTCCCTGGCTGCGCTTCAGCTTCTTCGCGGCGGCGTCTCCGCCGGCGCGCACCCTCAGAGACCGGTGCCGAGCTGCCGAAGCCATCACCTGGCCTCGGTTGCGGCGCTGAACTTGCAGGTCCTTCAGTTTCTGCAGCGCCTGCACCTCCCGCTCTAATCTCTCCAGCTCCTGGCTGTCCGGGCCCGGCGCCCTCAGACCGGAGGCCGGACAGGTTCGGAGAGCCTCGCCCAGCGCCGCGCCCTCCAGCACGGGCCGGCCCGCCCGCCGGAGGCTGCTGAAGGCGTCCAGCTCCTCCGCGGACACCACGTTCTGCTCGCTCACCGCCCCGCAGAACCACCTCAGGAAGGCCTCGTCCTCGCCCGCCTCGAACAACCAGTCGAAGTCTTCCCCATTGAGAGAGTCGGCTTTGGGATAACCGATCTTTTTTAACGTTTCCACAAATTCTTTCCCACAACTCATGGCTCACCGACCCCGACTTTCCGTGCCTGACAGGGGTTAATGGTGGGGACACTGAGGAAACGGATCCGAATACAAACGCCACTGATTCTATGGTGCGTGCAAAGCAGCGGGGGAAACCGCTTTGGAGTCTGTAATGACTCCTCCTAGGCGAGAAAAGAACACGCGTTAGACCACAAACACGGCGAGCGCGTCTCTGAAAGGACAGTGTGGCGAAACTACCAAACGGCGCTCGGTGCCGCGTCACTAACCCCCGGGCAGCCGGCTGGTCGCCCGAAGGGGTGACGAAGAGAAAGAGACACAAAACCGACGACACGGAGACCCGCCCTCCCAGGGAAATCGGGCTTTCCCTGGAATCAGGGGGTTGAAAAGCCTAGGAAACAGCAGCCCCCCTTTGAATTCCACATAAAGACGCCCTGGGCTAAGCAGCCCCTCTCTCTGCCCCCCTCGAGGAAAGCGTGGAAAGGACCGCGCGAAGGCTTTCCAGGGCGCCCGCGGGCGCCTCGGGGTCCGCCCGCGGCCGGGCGCCCGGCGGAAGGTCAGGCGCGGCCCGCCCCGGCGGACAGCCGCCCGCGGCCGAGCCGCTACCCAACGAAACGTCTCCCGGAGGAGCCCGCGGCAGCGCGGCCCGCCAGCCTCAGGGCGAGGGCGGGGGCGCACCGCGCGAGCGAAGGCGAAGCCCGGGCTCGCGTCCTCCCCGCACGCAGACTCACAAAGCTCGCCCACAAACCCCGCGGCCTCGGCGCTCGGGACCCACCGCGTAGCCCCGTCAGGACACGGGCGGGCGCTGCCCAGATCGGCGCGTCAGCCCGGGTCCCCACCGCCCCTCGGGCCCCCGCGCCCGCCGGCCCCGCCCCGGGTCCCGGCTGCCCGAACGGCGCGCTCCGGGAGGACGCTCCTCGGCTGCTGAAGGGAATCCCCAGGGCCGCCCGGAAAAAAGAGCGGGCAGCGAGGGGCTGGCGCCGCTGCCTCAGCTCCGCGCCGCGCAGAAGTGCGAGGCGCGCCGCACTCACCTCAAGAAGATGCGCTACGCCTCCCGCGCCCTCAGCCACCGCCGCCGCGCTCCGCTGTCCGCGCCTCGCAGGGCCTCACGGGAGCGCCTCACCGCGCGTGCGCAGAGGACCCAGTCGCGGGCTAAAGGGCGACGGTCTGCGCAGGAGCGGTATCGGAAGAGGCGGGGCCGCAGAAGGCGGAAAACGTCTTGCAGGGCGGGAGCTGATTGGCGTCCCGTTTCGGGGGCGGGGCCGAGGTGCGTGTGTGCTCGGAGGCTTGGGCTGGGGGAGGCCTGTCCGATAGCTGCGGGCTGGGTCGGGCCGTCGACCGGTCCCTTTCCGGGACGACAGGCTCCTCCGCCCATTCAGCTTCCTACACTTTCGCACCCCAACCCTCGCCCCCTAATGACAGGCTTTTAAGGGGCCAGCCGTCAGGCGGGCGGACAGAGCCAGCCCTATGGCTCGTCTCGTGACCAGGCAGGCATGGCCTAGCGCTCGTGCCGTTTGAGCTGCGCGGATAGGTGCTCCTTGGGAGAGGTCGTGGGAGTGAGCGGATCGCGCGTCTAAGCAGGGGTGTCAGACCTGCTGACCGTCGGCCGCATGCGTCCCAGGATGACGACGAATGCGGCCCAACACAAAATTGTAAATTTACTTAAAACGTTATGAGACGTTTTTGTGATTCCGTGTCGCAATGTATTTAATGTGTGGCCCATGACAGCACTTCTTCCAGTGTGGCTCAGAGACGCCCAAAGGTTGGACAGCCCTGGAAAGCAATCGGAGAGCGGCCCGGTGGTCTCCTGTTTTATTACTTGCTTTACCATCTCTTAACGATGAACATTATTTCGCAAAAGCACTTGGAGGGTCAGCCCTCCCCGGGCCCCTAAGCAGAAGCCCACGTCCTCCACAATCCCATTTTCAAAGCATAACTTCCCAAGGCGTTGTAAACTCAGTATGCAACGCTGTTTCTAGAGGATGCCAGAAGCAGGCATGCCTAGGCAATGAGGGAAAGAGCGCTGAAACAGGTTTCAAAGTGCGTGAAAACCTGGCCGATGCCTCCCGCACCACCCTCCCCGCATCCTCGTCAAAGGTACCCAGACCTTTGGGAGCCTCGTCCGTCCTGCACGGAACTCATTTACAGCTCTACCAGACCGCAATCGGTTTTTTGCTTCCCTGTTTCCCACAAATCAACGTCTAATGATGCAAGGGTTCTCTCCACACCCCCAGCATCACAAATGGCTCAGGTGGCTTGTTAGACAATGTCCTCGTCCACTGCGAATTGGAAGGGCAGACGTCTTCCGCTTAATCTTTCTTAGTTTGTTTAAGGAGGGGAGGGGAAAGGCTGTTCTACGGCAGATAGCACAAATAAGTCTGGAGTTGAAGACACTTTATGTTAATTCTTCATTTGTTTTACTTTTTATCCTCCTAACGACAGTAAAGCCTGAAAGGACCTGAAAAGTAAACATTGGTTGGGGGCGGGTCACTGGGCGGTGCCCCGCCTGAAGTGGGGGAGGAGCTGGGTCCTGCGGGTGAGCTTGAGGCTAGGTGAGAGCCCTGGACCAGGAGGACAGGGAAGGGGCGGGGGGGGGGGCGACGGGGGGGGGTTGGGGGGCAGGAGATAGGCGCTCAGTCCGCTTGTAGGGAGGAAGTGAAGGCTTCATGGGGCAGTGCCTTCAGGAAATTTTGCTGAGGAGGCAAAGGCTGAAGGAAAGCCAGAAGGAGCACAAAGACATGAGATGGGGCGGGGGGGGGGGGGGGGGGGGGGGGGGAGTGCAGAGCTGCGGGGAGGGTTTGGGTTTTGTTTTCTTTTAAGATGGGAGGAACTTGGCGATATTTATAGTCTGTGAGGAGGAACTTAAGAGGAGACAAGCGAAGATACCAGGAAGAAAAAGGGCTACTTGCTAGAAAGATCCCTGGGGGACGGGAGGGTCAGCCCCCCAGCACATGCGCTTGTTCTAGAAGCCGGCTTTTCCTAGTGACTCCTGAGTCATTTTCTGCGCCCACAAATTCTCCATGTGATTGAGTCGCTGACCATAGTTCATTGTTTTAACGATGTTAGTGGGGCCAAAAAGAAAAACCCATAAAAATCAATGGCATTCTCCCCACCCCCCAACACAAATGACAAATACAATAGGTCCAACTATACATACTTGAAAAGTTTTCTTTGCAAGCGTATTAGGGCATTTCTGCCCTTGAGTTTGTCTGGAATTCAGCAAAGCAAATATGTTACACTTACCTCGAGGATGAGCTCTCTTTCCTCCCGTTAAAATCACTCCTGGCTCCAGTGGGGGCACTTATGGAGTAAAAGGAGAAAGGGAACACATGATGAACCCCTCCCCGTGAAAAATCCGGGCGGGATGTAACAGACTAAATAGACCTGAACGGAACTGTTAGGATCAAGTGTTTTTGCTTTCTTTTTCTCCTTCCCGTAGGAATCTTTTTTCTCCCACCGACATTAAAAAAGTACTTTAGGTTTGGGACGCTGTCCTTTCAGAGGGTTTACGCTATAGCTTGTTGTTAAAAATCATTTGCTTTTAGCTGTCATGTCCAGCAATGATGGTGGAACTCCATTCCTCAAGCAACAGGGAGCGAGGGTCTTGTGCAGGCAGAGAAGCGACATTTGGAGACTCATGTTAGCAGCTTGATTCTGCAGCACCAAAAGTGACTTGAAGGGTGACACGAGACAGGTGCAGGGAGGCTCAGGTGCCCTGGGGAGAGGAGGGAGCTGGCTCAGAGGACCTGGGGCAGGGGGCAGAGGGCAGCCCTGAGGGCAGAGCCCCGGGCCTGCCGCTGGCTGGAAGTGGCGCAGTTTCTTATTCATCCTTCCCCCTCAGAGGAAAGCAGAAGACGCGCTCTTGCTGTGGGGTTGGAGGAGGGTGGGAGGGGAGTTTGTCTTCCATCACTTCCACATTCAGGTGACAAAGGTAAAACCTCAGTCCTCAAACTCCGAGCTCACCGAGATGGCCTATGGCCTGGGGGGACAGGGGGAATGCAGGAGTGGGCGCAGGGGGCAGGGCAGCTGTGGGAGGAAGCGGGGCAGAGGGGCCTGGGAGGCCGGCATGTGGTCTCATAAAGGCCTTGGGACAGGTTGAGGAGGCAGAAGGCAATGAGGCAGGAGCTGAGGGCCACTGAGTGCCACGTGGGTAAACTCCCATTTACATTCTGGGACGACCCCAGGGGCTGGGGTGCCCTGGGGGCCTGGCCTGGCTGCGGACTGGGGCCCTCTCTCTGATCAGCCCAGATCAGCCCAGCACCCCACTTGGGCAGCCATCAGCCTGGCAAAAACATGTTGGGCAGAGGCCTGGGGTCTCGGGCCCGACTCCCAGCGGAGGGCTGGGGCGGCAGAGGGACAGGGACACAGGGGACGAGCGGGCTCTGCCAAAGGTGTAAGAGCAGCTGGGGAGGAGGCAAGCATCCGACTTATTTCTGAATAAGGGACGGGGGTGACAAGACCCCCGAGGTCATGCTGGCTGTCAGGAAGACGGAATCAGGTGTCCCTCTTGGGGATGCTCACTGGAACCCAGGCCTGACACGTGGAGACAGTTTGTGCTGATTTTGGCAAAGTGCCGCACACACTCTGAGAGCCCTCCTGCCCTCGGCAAAACGTGGTGGTGACTTTAAGTCACTGACATTTGGAATTCAAATGTCCCCCTTCACATTGGGACCCAGCTGTATTACCAGTAGACAGTCCCTTGTTTTCTAAAGGTGCCCCCAGTGGGACCCACACAGGCTCAGGAAGCCAGAGTACTGCTGCTGTGGGAGGGAGAGGAACCCAGACGCCCCCAAAGACACCCCCAAATCGCCTGTGGGTGTCCTCGCGCCATCTCCACTTTGTGTCACAGCCCCGATCTCTGTCACTCTGGGCAGGCATCTTGCTCCCTGTTGTCCTCCGCGGGGGCCACACCACCTCCCATCCCCTCCCTGCACTGCAAGCCCCGAGGGCGGGGGGCAGAGGCCATGTCTAGGACATTCTGGTGTCATTGAACACCGGTCCAAGGAGGGTTTCTCAGGTGCCTCCAGAGGGCCGGCAGCGGCTGTGCAGAATGTCCCATGGAGGCGGGCCAAGGGCGCCCACCGAGGGCACCTAGGCGGCGTGGAGCACCTTCAGGGGCGGCTGTCCTCAGCAGGCAGCACCTGGCCCAAGGCAGAGGCAGGGCCTGGGCGCCTGTGGCTAGACCCCCGGGCTGTCGCACAGGTGTGTAGGGGCGTGTTCCATCTTGACCTCCACCCTCATTCAGGTCCCCTGGGGCTGCTCAGGGAGGCAGCTGTGACGGCAGGGTCTCAGTGGTGCCAGCCAGCAGGTGTAGGAGGGCCACGGACCAGTGGGCGGCCAGAGAGCACAGGCCACGGGCAGAGCAGTGCAGGCCGAGAGGCTCCTTGGGGGCGAGGGGAGAGAGTCGAGCACAGGGATGGAAAGAACCGGAAGCCAGAGGGGAGAGGTATAAAAATCTGTATTTATATTACAAAGACAGAATGGTACAGCACAGCCCCTCCCAGCGAGCAGGTGGACGAGTGACCTGTCTCTCTCCAGCGAGGGTCTTGTCATGTGCCCACCTGGTCCATGCCAGGCCTTCCGGGCAGCCCCAGACTCTGGCACGGAACCTGCCCTAGTGCCCTGGCTGCGGCCTGGGGTCAGAGTCCTGCGGGCGCGGTGGTGGGGCGGGGGCCCTGGGCTGGCTGGCGCAGAGAGAAGCAGGGGTGGGGAGTGGGGGAAGCCCGCCTGGCCCGGCAGATGGGATTGTCTAGGGCAGGCGGGGGGGGCCTTGGGGCCACTGTTGGGTGCAGAGTGCCATCTGCCCAGCAAAGTGGGCTCGGGCACCGGGCCTCTGAGTCCCAACCTGCAGGGGCGGGCCCGAGGCTCCGAGGAGGGAGAGCCTGCCTACAGCCTCCCCAGCCAGTGGGGCCTACGCCAGAGTGCAGGCCAGGAGTGTGGGCCACCGCCCAAGCAGGGCGGCGACCAAACCTGAGCCTGGGGTTCCAGGGCCGCAGCCACCGAGGGCCACGGTGGCCCACAAGGGCACGGGAGGGCATGAGGGGAGAGAGGTGCAGCCCCTGTGGCCCTGACCTGGCCCCGTGGGCGCTCTGTGGGCCTGACGACGCTGAGGTGAGCTCCGAACCACCCAGCGTGGCCTCCGCAGGCCCTCCCTGGGTGCCCGTGGCCGCCAGCAACAGCCAGCCTGTGCGATGGTAGGGCGCCGGACAGAGGGGGAAGGGATGTGCGGCTCCCAGCACTGGACCCTGGCCCTGCGGACCACCCCTCACAACTGCGGGCCAGGGAGGAGCAGCCGGGACCGCAGCCCCCGGGTGCCCAGCGAGGCCACCTCCCCGGCCCACTTGGGAACCACGGCCTGAGAAGCCATGGGCAGAGCTGCCAGTACAGGGGGCCGAGGGCCACCGCTGGTCACCGGCTCAGGTGCTGAGGCCCGAGGTGGGAGCAGAACCTCCCCAGGCGCTAGGGGCAGGGTGGCGAGCCGGTGCTCTGAGGGCTCAGGACACAGGCCATCCCAGAGCCTCACTGGAGCGCCCTGAAGCAGGCTCCACTGCAGTGTGCTCCCTCTTCTCCGAGGGCGTGAGGTGCTCGAGAGGCACACGCAGGGAGGGAGTGGTCTCACTCGGGCAGACCGGAGAGGTCCCCAGGGTGCCCCGGGCCCCCAGCGCAGCTGGACGGGGGCACCAACAGCACAGTTTCCTTAGGACCCCAGCCCTGACCCGTAGGCCTGCTTTCGCCCCTCCTCCCGAGCCCCAGGGCAGGTTCTGTGCCAGAGCTGTCTCCAGGGACTCCTTCTGCCCCAGTAGGCCACACACCCTGGGGCGTCTCTTGGCGCGACTGAAGACAAATACAATATGGAAATCAGTTACAATGCACCAGAGGGGGAGGCAGACGCTGCTGTGGGTCAGCCCACCGTCCACCGCCTACGTACTGCTGGGTGGTCCCTGGGGACAAGGACTTCAGAAAGAAAGATCAGGAGAAGCTGTGTGCTCAGGCCTGACCCCCCACCCCCCGCCGGGTGAACGCTGCCTTCTTAGCTGCCAAGGTCTCAAGTCTGGAACCCCCGCCCCAGGCAGGGGAGCGGGGGGTGCCGGAGTGGGGGTACAAGCTGAATACAGGTTAGCAGGCCGCCCCAGCCCCTGGGCCTGGAGGCCAGGCTGCACAACAGGTCCCTGCCAACCATAGGGGCAGGTGACACTGGGGGCCCAGTCTTAGCTCCTCCTGACAGGTGACAGAAAGCAGCCCTGAACCTGGCCCTGCAGCCTCACTCCCAGGAGGCTGCGGCTGCTGGGAGGGGCTTCTCTCCAGGGAGGGGCCAGGAGGACACCTGGTGGGCAAGCTGGGGGGCTTCCGGGGGAGGCGCTGGTGGGGGGGCGGGGCCAGACACTGGACGCAAGGCACACTTGGATGTTGGTGACAGACGGGCGAGTCCCTGAGACGCTGGGTCGCTCCCACCCCTCCGCAAACTAGGACGCAAGGACGGCTAGGAAAATAGAGTACAAAAATCTCGTTCGGGAAAGAGAGGCCGCACGCGCGGACGGTGCACCCACGGTCCCGAGGGCTGCCACTTCTTTTAAAAAACGGTCTTTTTGTCTTTTGGGGAAGCCTCCCTCCGGAGAGCCCTGCTCTGGGCCAGGCGGCCATTTGTCTGTCTGTTTTTTGCTTTTTTAAAAAACGGGAGACCAGAAATCCCCAAAGACCCAGGGGCTTCCGTTTGCAGGCCCCCACACACACCCTGGCCCTTGCTGGGAGGAGCAGTCCCTTCCGGTGACGACTGGGCAGGTGAGTGGAGGTGGGAAGGGAACCAAGCACAGGCCAGGGGTCAGCGTCGGCTCGGGTGGCCCAAAGACGAACCGTCCCAGGGCCCCTCTGCGTCTGGTGACCACACGTGACTGCACGTGTGCGAGTGGGGGGGCACACGTACCTAGGTGCATGCGCATGTATGCCCCAGGGACCTGACAGAGCAGAAGCTGCCCAGCTGGGTGTGGGCTGGCCCCGCCCACCCCAGGAGCCCCGCCCTGGCTCCTGACCCGCTGGTCTGCGGCCCCTCCCCCCGCTCCTGCCCCAGGGTGCTCACCCGAGTCCCGCCCTTCATGGATCTCTCTGTCCATGCTTCAGGAGCCTACGCGGACCAACGGACCGATGGACAGATGGACGGATGGAGAGCCACGCCTTCCTTCCTTCCTCGGTCCACTTCTTTCTCCGGGGATCCGGGGTGGGGTCTGAGCACCCCACGGTGGTCATTAAGCCCCTTACACGGCGCCCGCCGAGGTTTGCAGCAATGACATTTAATACTTCTGGAATGATTAGGAATCTGAGAACAGACCATGGGTGGCTATGCCGGGCTCCGGGACGCGGGAGCTGGGCCCGCCTCCCTGCAGGGGGCCCTGCCCGGCTGGGAGGGGCGGGCGGCGAGGTGGGCCCTGACCGGCAGGCGGGTGGAGGTGGGCAGCCCAGGCGGCTGCTGGCGCTTCCAGAATGGCACAGCGGCGGGCCCGTGGAGAGGCTGGAGAGGGCTGGAAGGCTGACGCGCTTGGCTGGGCAGCAGGCGGGCCGGGAGCACAGGGCGCCAGGCCTACGAGAGGGCAGGGCGGGCGGGCCGCCGGCAGGGGGGCCCGTAGCCGCCACTCTGCAGGCTGTAGTGGTCATCCACGTCACTGTTGCTGCCAACACTGTCCAGCTCGCCAGGGCCGAACTCCATGCCCTCGACGTCCACTTCTGGGGGAGCAGAGAGGATAGGTCAGGCACCGCGAGCGTGCCCACCCAGCCCCGGCAAAGTCAGGGTGGTCTCTGCCCTTCCTGGAGGTGGCAGAGGCCCGAGGGGCAGGCGCGCGGGCAAGACGGGGCTCCAGCTCTGCGGCCCAGTACGAACAGAACAGCCCTAGCAGCACAGCACGCGCTGGGGCCCAGCCTGGCCCTCGCGTGGGCAGGTCGCCGGCCTCTGTGCCTCACCCGACTCGTCCGGGGGACACTGGCGCTCAGACAGCGCAGGACGGTTCACGGGCCCCTACGCCCACTGCTGTCAGCCCCGCCCCCTCCCAGGCCCCGCCCCAGCCTGCCCCGCCCCCAGCCCCCTGCCCAAGGCACCGAAGCCCGGGCTCACCTTGCTCCGAGTCGTCCGTGGAGACTGCGGAGCCCGTGCTGTCCGTGCGGACGCGCTCCAGGCTCTGCAGGGACAGCTGCTCCAGGCGCCGCTTCAGGAAGCGGTGTTCTCGCTGCAGCTGCTCCTTGATGCTCAGCGCCCTGCGGTCCTGCTCCTCCAGTTTCTGGGGACAGGGAGGCTGTGAGCCTGGGCGGCACCCCTCCCCCACACCAGGGCCTGGGCAGGCTCCCTGTTGCCCACCTGGTCTGTGCCCAGTTCCCAGGGGCATGTGCGCTCCGGCCTCACCCCAACCAGGAGGTTCCGCCAGGCACCACCTCCCAGCCCTGGGCTCTGCCACCAGCCAACTGGGCCAAGCCAAGTCCTGTGTGGGCCTGAGGCCTGGGGACCTCACTGCGGAGCCTGGGCTGGCACCGCCTCCCAGAGGACAGGGTGGCCTGGCTCTGCCCTGCCCACGCTGGGCCTGCCCCTCCTGGCCCCTTGTCCTCAGCACACCTTCCCCGCCCGCAGACTCGGCCTGCTCTGACTGCGCCCCGTCTCCCAGCCTGTGGGTGCGCCTGCTTGTGCGGGCCCCAGGAGACCTACAAGGGCACCGAGACCGCCCTGGTTCGCCCAAGTATCATGGGACCCCAAAACCAGCAGATCTCTGCCTCGGACCTTGGGGGCTGCCCCAGGCAACTTCTCACTCAGCCAGACCCCACGGCCAGGCCTCAGCCCCAGACGCTCGCCCACCGCGGGCACCTGCTTCCTGTGGCCTCCCAGCGCTGAAGGCGCTCTGCCCTCCTGGCCCCACCTCTCCTTCCAGCTGCTCTTCACAGCCCGGGGCGGAGAGCCCTCTGCCGCCTACCTCCGCCTTCCCCAGCCCCACCCCCGCCCCCGCCCCCACCTAGGGAAACCCCAGCGTTTGCCCATGGCCTCCTCCACCCTCCAGAGCTCCCATCGCTGCTCACCGCGCCCCCCAGACCCCCGGGCCCCCGCGGTGCACCTGCCGGGCCGCCCCCCCACCCTTGGGCCCGCAGCCATGCCCCCAGGGCACAGGTGGTCAGGCTGGGTCAGACGAGGCCCTGGCCGGGCGTGGCGGAGGGCGTGCGGCCAGCTCACCTTGATGTGCGTCTTGGCGCGCTTGAGGAGGCTCAGCGTGGTGTGGCGGGTGCTGTCGGGGCCCAGGGGCACGAGCTGCTTCAGCTGCTCCAGGTACAGCCTGAGTTTGGCTCGTCTGCAAGAGCCAGAGACAGGGCCATCAGGCAGGGGCCGCGCGGCCCAGCGGTCTGCGGGCGGGCGGGCAGAGGCGGCCGCCCCGGCCTGCCGAGCATCCCTGTCCGGGGTTCCCTCCCTTCTGGGGGCCCTAGCAGGAGAGGAGGACCTGCAGCCAGGGCCCGCGTGTCCGGCCAGCCCTCCCACACCCTCACCCCCCAGAGCCTCAGGCGCCACAGCCAGACGGGACCGGAGCCCCTGCTCTCCCTGCGGTCACCCCCCCCCAGCGGAGTCGGTGGGCAAGGGGCACCCTGCAGGAGGTGGGGAGGTGCGGGGTGCGGGTCAGGCTGCTCCCAGAGATCCGGGGCCCCGGGCCAGAGTTACGTCCCCACCACGCCAAGTGCAAGGTGCACGCTGGTCACTCTCATCACCACAGACACTGGGGTCCATCTGGGTCCAGCAGGGCCGAGGCCTGGACCGCCCCCCGCCCCGAGGATGGCATCCCTTGGGAAACTGCTTCTTTCCAGATCTTGTCCCGTGTCCACGCAGACGGGTGCAGCTTTCCCACAAGACTGGAACCACAGGACTCAGAGGTCTGTTGAGGCCCTTAGGCCGCGTGCCCACACAGACGCTGCCTTTCCCGCACGTCTGGTCTGGGCAAGGCCGGTGGGTGGATGGGGGTGCGGCTCAAGCTCACTCTCAAAGCAGGTCCTGGCCCCCAGACACCGCGGCCTAGGACCCGCCTGCCCCTGCAGCCCGCTGTGCACTTCCTGCTCAGGCTCCGCTCTCAGGAAAGTGGCCGGGAGGCCACGGGGCCCTGCACGCCCACTGCCCCTGACCCCTCTTCATCTCTGCTCCCTGCACTCCAAGGCCCAGCAGACGCTTCCCGCTGAGCCTCGGAGGTCCTGGAGGAACGTGGGCAGGGGGCGCCACCTCGGGACAGACGGGCGCCCGGGCCTGTCTGTCGCCCACATCTGCACAGCACCCTCCTGTAATGAAGCATCCCCCCCACCCCACCCCGACCTGGATACCCTGGGCCCTGGAAGTTCCCTGCGTAAAACCAAGTCAGACCTTAGGAAGAACTTCCAGGGCACAGGACAGAGGCTGTGCTGGGTCAGCCAAGAGGCCACAAGGAGCCCGGGCCCCGGCAGCCTGGACCCTGGGGGCCTGTGTGCAGAGCAGGCTCCAGGCTCTGCCTCAGGCTGGAGGGTCTTCAGAGGGGAGCTCCTGCCCCCATGTGGACACAGGGCTTGGGAAGGGGACACAATGGTGGGCTCCGGAACTCATGCCACCGGGCCCCAGGTCACTGCTGCATGACCCCTGGCCCCCCAGAGTCCAGAGAGCTCGGCCTCCTCCCCTCCACAGTGCTCGCCCCACTGAGGACGGGCCGGAACCATGTGTGCGGAGCTGCGCAGGGGCTTGCTAATGGCCCCCTTCCACCGCGGGCCCCCCGCCCGCCACCCAGGGCGCGAGTGAGTGTCCCTGGTCCACTCGTTCCCCAGCAAATGGCAATTCTACCGTTTACATGCTCAACACGTGATCTTGGTGAAAAATCAGAAAATGCAAACCAGCAGGAAGAAAAACTGAAAACTACCCCTAAAGTCCACCCCCAAGAAACTTAACAGTACCATCGTTTCAGTGCATTCTACGCGGTTGCATTGTGACCAAGTCGGTGTACGGGACCGCCTGCGTGACAAGTGACCCAATACTGTTTTAATAAAAAAATAAAACAGCAGACGCACACGAGAGACTCAACAGGACACAATGAAGAGCAGGAAGCATGCGTCTCCAGGTGAGGCGGTTGGCAACGTTTATTTCTTTGGTTTTGTGTGTTTTGTTTTTTTTTTTGCATTTTCCAGGTTTTCTATGCTAAAAAAACCACATATTACTTTTACAATCAGAAAAAGACACATTTGTACAGAAAGAAAAAACAGCTAAAAGACAAATAACAGTGGAAAATATCTGCAATACACATAAAAGACAAACGGTTAGTATTCATGACATTTTGAGCTCATACACAGCAAAAATAAAAAGAGGAATATCTCGATGTGAAAACGGGCAAAGGACACAAACAGGCAAGTCGCAGAACACAGACGGCTGATCGGACACAAAGCTGGCGCCCCCTCCCAGTGTCCAGGGCGTGAAAGCTCGCCGCGGACGCCCTCACTCAGGCAGAACCGAGGCGGCGCTGGCTCCGCCGGCCAGCGCGCGGCCCCTCAGGTTTCGCCGGCAGACGGCAGTCCTGGAGGCCATCGCGGCGACTGCTGCCCGTGTTCCTACTCGATCTGGGCCCTACAAAGCCACCCCCAGACACGCGACGTTTCCCACGTTGGCTGCAGCCCAGCTGCGTTAACCAGGTGGCCAGACTAAGAGCCTGCAGGACAGCTACCGGTCCCGTGTGGCACGAGGGCAGGGAGGAGAAGCGCCCAGGGACACCAGGGGACAGTAGTGCCAGGCGAAAGGTCAAGTGAGGAAACAGGACGAGGCCCTGTTCTTACCCAAGTTAGTACCCGCGTGGAGGAAGAGGAGGAGGAGGCAGGCGTGGCCTCCCAGATGCCTAGGACGGCATGGGGGGCGGGGGCACAGGGGAAGCCTGTGAGCAGCCATGACAGACGTGAACCGTCTGCTCGAGCCATCACAAAGCACACACTCCTCAAGAGACAGACGCCCGACTGTAGAGTGACAACGTGCCCGCCCAGCCACAGGAGCACTGGTGGCGGGGCCCTGGGCCAGCCGCACCCCTCTGTGCCCCCGCGCCCCCACCGCTGTGGGGCACAGGCAGCCCCAGGTCCGCCCCGGGGCTGCAGGGCGCTCCTGCCAAGCCCGCTCTGAGGCGGCCACAGCGCCCGGCCCTCGGCCAGTGCCCCGCAGGTGCCCCCAGCATTCCCGGGAGCTCGGGAAACCCACCGCTTTCTGGACGCAGCCTGCATGGCTTCAGGAGCAGAACCTGCACCCGGGAATCACTGCACTCGTGGTAGCAGCAGCTCTGCCTCGGGATGCCTGCAGCCCAGCCCTGGACACGGGCCCGCCCTAGCTTCCCAGCACAAGCCCTGCTCTTCCACGGAGGCCCGGAGCTCCCGGGCAGTGTCGCCCAACCCCCGAGGAGCAGGGCCCCGACCGTCCACACCCCGAGCACCCAGGCCTGGCTGTCACAGGAGAGACAGCAGGGAAATGCACTGGTGCAGGGAGCAAGCGTAGGCCCTCCGGCCCTCCTCTCCTCTGCATGTTCTAGCTGCGGGGGTGATGAAGGCCAAGTGTGGCTGCGCCAGCCGGCACCCACCCAGGACCTGGACAGCCACCTCCACACCAAGGAGAGGTGGGTGGCCTCACCGCACACCTTGGGCTGGCCTTTGGGGTGAGCCCTGCCGCTCCAGCCACGCACTAGCTAAAGCCTTGAGCGGGGCCTGGGGGTCATCCTGTCAAGGAGCACGTGGCCTCCATGACCCCAGGCCTATGGGGTCAGTGGTCCAGTATTGGCCTTAGAGACTGGGCTCACTGGAGTTGCTGCTGTTCCTGAGGCAGGAGGCAGGAGGCAGGAGGGACAGGGCTAACCAGCCGGCTCAGGGCAGGTCCCGCAGGCCCCCGACGAGCAGTTTCCAGGGAAGACGATGTCCGGGGCCAGCCGCCCTGGGGGCACACCAGGGGGTCCTACTGGGTGCTTCCTTCCGCCCCCGGGAAAGCACACAGCCCTTCCTGTACCCACGGCCTGCGGCCTTCAGCCTCAGCCCTGGGCAGCCACGGGCACAGCCGCGACTGAGGTCCCCACCAGCACCCCCAGCTCCAGGCCTGCGGGGGGCTGCCTGCCCCTGCCTGTGGGCCAGCCGGGAAGAGAGAGCCCTGCACTGGGCAGGGAGACCCCGAGCTACCCCACCACCCTGCCGTGGTGTCTCAAAGGGCCCTGCCAGGCTCCGCCCAAGGGCGGGCCCTGGGAGAAGGCAGCTGAGGTCCAGGCTGGGGCAGGGGCAGGGGTCCAAGGCCAGTGCTTGCCCTATTCAGAGGGGCTACCATACCCTTGCCACCCTCCCTCCCCTGATGTCACACCTCTGTCCACCCACATCAAGGGGCTGTTCTAGGCGCCACCCCCAGGAAGCCTTCCCCAGAGTGCCCCCCAGGCCTGCCCAGGCTCCTGGGTCCTGCTCAAGGGCACCCCCTCCTCGGGCCTGGCAGCCACCCCGGGGCGGGCCTGGCTGCCGGGGTCCTGCACCTGCCCCACCTCCGTGGCCTCGGGAGCCCCTCGCACACACAGGGCCGGTCCAGGAAGTGCAGCTCCTCTAGGGAACACGGCGTCCTGTCCTTGCCCGGCGCCCGCCCAGCACAGGCCTGATCCCAGGGGAGCGGAAGTCGGCGCTGCCGTGGCCATTGGTCGGGGGGGCCACAGAGAACTGGCCGGGCTCCAGTTCTTCCCAGAGCAGGCCAGCAAGGTTCTGCTGGAATGCAGACCACCCCCTCCAGCCCAGGAAGGGAGGAAAGAACTGGCCCATTACACAGATGAGAGCAAAGGGCAGGAGAAAGCTCCGGCCCGGCATCCCTGGGAGGCCGTCTCTAGTCCCGGCATCAGGGCTCCAGCCTGTGGGGCCTCCATGCCCACCCACAGCTCCCACCGGCCCACGAGACCAGCCCGGAGGGCCCCGCACACCGGGGCCCGGCTTGTCAGTGCCTGGCCCCCAGGCCTGGCAGGGGAGGGCGCAGGGGACTGGGGCTCTTTGGAGGCCGTGCTGCCCTCCTGCTTCTCGCTCACAAGGGGCCCCTCCCCCGGGAGGACCCGAGTGGATCCAGCCCCGTAGCGAAAGAGTGGGCATGCGGTGGGCTCCGCTGGGTCCTGCCCTGGGCCAGAGCTTCCCCCAGGCCCGCACGTGGGCCCAGCTGCCTGTCCCGCTGCCCTGCAGACCAGGCCAGCAGGAGGCCCCTTGGAAGGCAGGCCCCAGGTGCAGGAGGCACCAAAGGGCGGGCCGCCCTGGAGGGAGACCACATTCTGAGGCCTGAAGGCTTGCTCCCAAGGGGCTGCCCCAAAATCGAGGAACCTCCTCCTCCAGGGAACCAGCCCTAACTGCCACACAGCACAAGGGACCCTGCCCCAAGCCCCTGACGCCCACCTGACCCCCAGGCCGGGGCCCCCACCTCTGCCTCCCAGCCCAGGAGCGCGTGAGCCTGGCCCTTCCCTTCAAGACCGACCCAACCGAAACGAGGGCACGGCCTGGCGGCACGGCCAGCCACGCCCAGGACACGCGGGGCGATGCCCGCAGCCCCCCTCATCCGACGTGTCAGGAACGGGGGGTGGGGGACGGGGCTCACTCACCTGTGCTTTTCTAGTTCGTTGTGTGAAGACCTGTTTAGAGAGACAGAGAAACAGAGCTCACTGCACTGTCCGGCCGCCAGGGCACAGCACGGCGGCCCCACCGAGGGCCAGACTGCAGCTGCTCACAGGGCCCCGGGCCCCGCACGGCCCAGGGCAGGGAAGGCCGGGCTGGGCGGCCGCTGCTGACCCAAGGCCGGGGTGACCCCGCACCAGTAACAAAGACAGGCCACACAGAGGCACAGCCGCGTCCAGGGGCGCCCAGGGCCAGCCGCTCCCCTAGAGAGGCAGGCAGGGGCTCAGGCCTGCAGGAGGGCCCCGGTCCCCTTCCAGAAAGGGCGGGCAAGGCCCCGTGCTGGCGCTGACCCTCCCTGTGCTCCCAGAACTGGGCCCCGAGCCACTACCCAGGCACCGAGCTGCCTGCCTTCTCTGTTCCCCACCCCCCGGAGACCAACGTTGTCTTTGGAGCCACACCGGCTGACACAGAGACCAGGACTCGGCACAGAAGGCGATCCTGTCCCGATGTCGCTGGCCAGAGCACCGCCCCACCCCTCAGGCTCCCACACGGGCACCCTCACAGCCCCTCGTGCCCATGGGACACCCAGGCGCAGAGCAGACCCAGCCTCCCAGGGACCACCTTTGAGACCTCCGAGATGATACTGCTTCTTGAGTCAGTGGGCAGTGGGGAGACCAAAGCTGGCCCTCCACGTCCCTCTAGGTCATGGTCTGCCAAAAGTGGCCACGCTGCACCCGAGGCTCAGCCTCTCAGGCGGCAGTGACCCCATCTGCTCCTCGGGCCCTGCTCATCTGGCCCATTCAGGGGGCAGAGAGTCCGGAGCGTCGCTGTGGGCAGTGCCAGTGTCTGCCCTGCGGGACAGTGAGGCATCTCCGCGTCACCGCCCCTTCCCCCAGTCCAGCAGGGGCCTCTCGGGCCAGACCGAGCTCCCAGGCTGGCCAGGCTGCCTCCCAGGTGAGCAGAGACCCAGGCCACCTCGTGGCAACCAGACCAAGCCCCGTGTCTGGGACTCCGGCCGACAGGCCGGCCCGCCTGCCCTCAGGCTCTGCTGCTCCAGGAGCTCCGGGAGAGGCACCTCCCGTCCCCACCGGTGGGGCCAGAGTGCCTCCCCGTCCTGCCTGCCTCAGCGCCTGCTGTGGTTTGTGGACCCACCGCAGTCCACTGGGCCCTGGCCGCCCCGTCTCCCGCCGGTCAGCAGCCGCAGGGCCGCCTCCAGAACAGGTTCCGGGGCCTCGAGCACCCACTGGTCACGCGGGCTGGGCAAGACACCTCCGAGCCCCCAGGTCCTGGACGGGGCACAGCCGCCAAGGTCCTGGCTGGCCTGGACCAGGGGGGCAGTGCGGTTCTGTAATCTGCCCACTTGCGAGGGAGGCAGCTGTCAACGAGTGCCCTTCAGTGTGGAGACGCCCACCTGCCCACCAGCCGAGGCCTGGGCTGGACCCCGCCCTGCCAGGAGAAGCGCGCTGGTCAGGAGCAGGGGGGCGGAGAGGGGCCCAGACACCTGTGGGAGCCCCGAGGGGAGATCTGTCACCTAGGTCCCAGGAGCACCCTGTCCTGGGCTATGCGTCCCACGTGGCCTGGAGACAGGTGCGACTCTCTGGCCAGGACCACCCTGAACACGTTCCCGGCGCCACCTGCCGTGCCCCTCGCGTCAAGCCCGAGGTAGCTCCCCTGCCCACCTTCCTGTGGGACCTGACTCCACTGGCTCCCGCCCTCCTGCTGAGCAGCCCCGCCCTCCCTCACTTGGCAGGTGTGCAGATGTCCCGCCAGGTCTGGGCCCCAGGGTCTCTAGGCCCTTCCCTGCGCCAGCCCTGGACTGGGCCAGCCGAGGCCCAGCCGGGCCAGGGTAGGCTCAGGAGCCGCCCCGGTGCCTCAGGCACCTGGGCAGTGGGGCTCTGCCCCGGGGAGGAAGCGGGGAGATGCACCCCGGTCCCGGAGGCCCTCTCGGTCCCTCCCTCGCAGCCTCAAGGTCCCCATCCTAGCAGGATGTGGAAGACCAGGACCCCACCTCGGACAGGAGTCCCAGAGATGGGAGGGTGACAAGCAGTTCAATCTCTCTTTGCTTACTTCCTCAGCTACAGTAGTGAGAAAAATAACATCTCCTTCATGGAACTGGGTGATTGTTAGCACGTGCGCAAAACACTCAGCACGTAGGAAGCACAGAGCACTAACTGTGATTCTGGTTACGAGCCAGGCCATGGGAGTCACGCCCTGGAGTTTCCCATGGGTGGCCGGGCACTTGGGACAGCGAGAGCCAACAGCAGGAGCCTGGCTAGCTCACTGAAGAGGCCCGAGGCAGTGCCTACCCCGCCACGGAGGTACTTTCCCAAACTGTCCCCAGCAGGGGACCAGGGGCTGGGACTCGGAGGCATGTCCCAAGCCAGGACAGATGGAGACTGAACCAATTCCTTGCCAGGCCAGGGCGCCAGGACGACACAGGAGATGGTCCTCACGCCAGCCTTTCTGTTTCCCAAGAACAAGCAGGCCACAGGCACGAGCCGCACCCTCTGCCCGGGGGCCCCAGAGCCCCCCAAGTGCAGCTCCCAGCCCGGTGACATGGCCTCGGCCAAGTGGGCAGTGCCAGGTGTGCTGTGGTCCCCTCGGGAACCAGGAAAGGGGATTGCGACGGAAGCCCTAGCTGAAGGTCCCCACTATTCCCCACCCAGGGATGCACACCCCAGCTTTAGGATTTCTGCAGCCTGGGTGGGGGTGGGGGTGGGGGAGGGGGCTTCCTGGCACTGGGAGAAACGGTGCATCCTGCCCCCTCTTCTTGCCCCCTTCAAAATGGCCTCCAGTCCCAAGGACTCCTACACTTGTCGCCCGAGTTTCACTTGTGTCAGGAGGCTGGCCGGGCAGGAGCGTGGGTACCGGGTAACGTGGAGAAGTAGGGGTCAGGCCAGGGCCTCCGGGAGCTTCTTTGTCCAGGCCCCTGGGAGTGGAGAAACTCAGCCCGGCAGCAGGGCTCGGCCCTTGGAGACAGTCGGAGGGATGGGCATCTCCGCCGCCGCCGCCCCCCCCACCCCCGCTTCCCCAATGCCGCTCTGTACCAAGCCTCAGTTTCCCGCGACCCAAGAGGCACCGGCCAACGCCCACTGACAACTTTTTTTCCTGCCCGGAAAAGTCTAGAACAACTTGGGGGCGGGGAGCGGCTACGGGAGGAGACCCCGGGCGGCGGGGCTGTACGCGTGGCACTGTTTACGCGAGAGGCCGAGGAGGCGCGGCCCGCAGGAAGATGGCGACGGCGCGGGCGGGGCCGGCCGGGCGGGGCTGCGGCCGCGGCCCGGGCGCGCCTCCTCCTCCAGGCTGGCCGCCGGGGCTCGCGACGCCGGGGGGCAGCCGTGCTGCAGACCGGGAACCGAGACCAGAGAGGGCACTCAGGAGAAAGGAAGCCCCGCGCCCGAGCCGGGCGGGGGCGGCCGCGCGGGGGGCGGTACCTGTTGTTCGGGGCCTTGCGCACCAGGCCGGCCGCCTTTGTTTTCTTCCTGGCGAAGTCGCCGTCGAAGGGCAGCACCGAGGCGTAACCATGCTCGGCCTCTGCGGACAGACGGTGCGGTCAGCGGATCCCGCCCCGGCCCTGACCCTGCCGCCCGCCCGCCCGCGGCCCGGCGCACAAAGGGGCGCGGGCGCTACCTCGGTCCCTGCGCTCCAGGTACTCGGCCGCCTCCAGCAGGATCAGCAGGGAGTTCAGCTCCATCCTCCGGCCCGCCTGCGCCCGCCCGCGCGCTCCGGGACGGCGGCGGCCGCTGCCCGGCCTGCTCCGGCCGGCTCCGCTCGCCGCCCGCCCCGCGCGCCCGGCTGCCCCACTGCCCGGACTCCCGCGGACTCAGCGAGCGCTCGCTCGCCACCCTCCGCTTCGGGCCCTCAAATTGACACTTAAGGGCGAGCGGCGGCCAACGCAGCCAATGGGGGCCGACACTCGCGCTCCGGGGGCGGGCAATGGCCTAGGCAGAGGCCAATGGGAGCCAGCCGAACGCCCAGGGCCGGGCCGAGAATGTTGACAGATGCGAAGCTCGGTTCGGATAGGCCAGCCGCGCTAGTAACAATTTAGAAGCCCAAGCTTAGCAACAGCACGTGGTGGCCCGGCCCCCGCGCTCGCTGACTGGCGGCCGGCTTGCATGTTAAGTAGGCGCCGAGCGCCGATTGGCCCATAGCGGTCTATGTAAAATAGGGACCGCGGACCAATAGCCGGCTGCGGGGCGCGCAGCCAATGAGGGCGCCGCGGCCGGACGCGTTGCCGAGAGGAAACGGAGCGCTGCGAGAGTGCCGGCCGCTGGGCCCTAAGCGAGAACCCGTTAGGGCGCGGGGAGCGTCGGGAGCGCCCCTCCAGTCCCGGGTGTGCACAGCGCGCTCAGCAGGAGCCTGTAGCCCCCGAGAGATCTGCAATACTGGCTCCGCGGGAGCACGTGGCCTCGCTGTGCCCTTGGGAATATCGCGTGGGGCTGCAAACGACATCCGTCCCCGCCGGACCCAGGGCGACCCCTGGAGAGGCCGGGTCTTGGAGGAGGGGCGTAGACAGCCAGACAGCCACATCTCCTTGAGGATGTCAGCTGGGCATCTGAGGCGGGAGAGGGTCTCAGAGCTGTCCGGTGGAGCCGAGGAGGGGCCCGCGGCCTAGAGAAGGGGGCAAAGACCTGCCGCCGCAGTCGGGAGGGGCTCCCGCGAGGGAAGGGCTGCGCGCTCGCGTGTGACTGCGGGTAGGGATGCTCCACGAGTCAGGTGCTGGTTTCTCTGGGCACGGAAGCGCTTATGGGGGAAGAGTTGCCGAGGGAGCTCCCAGCTGGCAATTGGCTCTGGTGACCTCTGGCCCGACGCCGCCCTGTAAGAGCAGGATGGGCAGCCTGGTGGCAGCCCCGGACCGGCCTCGGTCCCCTTTGACCTTCCCTCTCATTGGTGGCCTGGGAGGTCCTGAGGATGCGACCACAGGCTACGAAGTGCGGGGGATAAGGCCCCTGGACCCTCATAGGATTTCTAAATGGGGGGCACTGCTGCTGCTGCCCCGCGGCCCTAAAACACAACGTAACAAACACCAGAGAGACCTCAGCACTTCGGTTCTGGGACCTCCTGGACGCTTTCCGAGCATTTCCTGGTGTGTGTCTGTACCCCCAGCTCGCAGATAAGGACACGGGATCCCGAGGTTTAGGGTTCGCCGAGTTGCCCAGCATTTCCCGCAGAATGGAGATTTTAGGGCTCCCATACCGGTGGCGCAGGGTGGGTGACCCAGCAGTGTGGAGACCAAGCCACCTGGGTGACAGCCATGGCGGTGTGGTAAGAAATGGGGTCAGGAACGGGCGCCCCGCAGAGCGGCGGATCCCTGGGGGGGGGGTTGGACACGGCCCGCCCGCGGGGACAGCCCTGCCAGACAGTGAAACCACCCCCCAGCTGATGCCGACCCCGTGCTTCCTGCCCCCGCCCCACAACCACCCCAGCGCCGGGCAGAGCTCCCAACAGGAGCGCGCTGCTGTGTGGGGCTGCTCAGCCCGGGGAGGGGCCGTTGAGGGCTCGGGGTACAGGAAGCGGGATATCAGGCTCACCACTTGCTGGTCAGCATTTTGCAAGTCACCCCATCCCTGCGTGTGCGAAGGGGGCTGGCTGGCCGCAGTCCCAAAGTCGCACCTCGCCCAGGGTGCGCGCACCTGCCGGATGCGGTGGGTCTGCGGTGCGCCGCCTGCCCCAGCGGGCGGCGCAGGTGCTCAGGGCTGACGGTGGGAGCCGCGTGCTTGCCCGAGACCAGAAAGGGTCGTCCCCACCTTGCCTCCATTGACATCTAGGCCATTTCGGGGTCCCCTCCTCCAGCCACATCGCGTGCCGGGGGGATCCCCACCGCCTGTGAGTGTGGACGCCGTGGTCCCGCGGACAGTGGGGGCGGAAGGGGGTCGGGTCAGCGGCGCGAGCGAGGGGCGGGGCCGGCGCGCCGGGCCCGGCGTGGGCAGAGGCGTCCGGGTCCCCGGCGGAGGGGCAGCCCCGGAGACGGCACTGAGTGGGAGGGCGGCGGGGAGCGGGAGAGACAGGACGAGGGAGGAGAAGACAGCGAGGGCGGGCGGTTAGAGCCGACTGGCCCCGGCCGGGCGGCTGGTTGGCTGGGTGCCGGCGGGCTGAGCCGCAAGTCGGGGCGGGGAAGACAGCGCCGGGGCGGGGGGGGGGGGGGTGCGCGGAGGACGCCCCTCCCGAAGGGCGTGCGTACGCGCCCCGCCCGGGGCCCACGTCGGGGCGGGGAACAGGCGCCCGGGGGTCCGTGGCTGGGGACCCAGCCCCGGGGGGCAGGCCCGGAGTGCCGCAGGCCCAGCTCTGCGGTCCTGGTCTCCGGCAGGCGCCTGTCACCTGCTCTGCAGTGCCTCCCTGAGCTCGGGCAGGGCCAGCTGCCTCCTCGCCTGCGCAGCCCTTCCTATCGCTTCTCCCTGCCAGGAACGCGAGGGGCCTGGGGCTCACCCAACACCCCTCGCCCAGTCCTGCTGTCTGGGCTTCTCTGGCCTGTGCCTCCCTGGCCTGCTCCCCCCCTCCCCCAGGCCATGCCCAGGTGGCCGGGGCTGCTAGTCCCGTCCTAGAGGGGAGCCTCCTGGGCCCTGGCTGGCTGCCCTGAGGGCCTGCACCCAAAAACCCACCCCAGCTCCCCATTCCCGGGCCGCGGTCACCCAGCAGCTTGGCTCTTACGCCCAGAGGGCAGCAGGTCAGGGTCTGGTGAGTGAGACTTCATTCCGAGGACACAGAGGCCCCTCGGGTCACAGGGTCCTGAGTGATGGGGGTGTGGGAACAGCAAGGCCGAAGCAGGGACGGCGGCTCGGCCGGTTACTGCCCCTGATGGAGCTCAGGCCCGGCAGCCTGTCCCCCCCTGCACAGCCCTGGCAGGCCCTCCCCTACTTGGACTTCCCCCGGGGCCAGAGGCCCGGCTCCGAGAACGTGAACGCAGGTGGGGGCTGGGCCACCCGTCGATGGAAGGCTGCCTGGCGGGGGTGACCCCGGGTGGCCTGCCTGGGAGGAGACGAGCATCTCCGGGGCTGTGGGTGGCATGAGGTGGGCGCTATGGGCCCCGCCCTCCTCCCCCTCCCCCCGCTCCCGCTGCAGAGTTCAGAGGCGGGGTGGACCCCAATCAGGGCCCCCTCTGCTGCTCCCTGAGCCCTTTGGGTTGAGTCTGCCCTGCCTGGGGTCCTCGCTGGGGCCCGGACTGGACGTGGGCGCCGGTTGGCAGCGGGGCGACCCCAGCAAGGCAGCGCTCCGGTTGCCCCCGACACGCGCCGGTCGGCCGCTGGGAGAGGAGGCGGCGGGATGGGCGCCCCCTGGTGGCCGTGAGGGCTGCAGCAGGGACCCCGGACGGAGCCCGGAGGGGCCACAGGAGGGCCAGACGGGAGGCCCCCCAACCCTGCCCCGCCCACCAGGCCTCCTGGGATGGCCCACTGCCTTCGTCAGAAACCGGGACAACAACAGTCTTTCTCCTTTCCTGTGCTCCACCAGCCCCCTACTGGGGTCACGGAACCCACTGGAGTGGGGCGCTGCCCACCTGGGGTTGGGGTTCTCCTGGGAACACGGGCAGGGCCTGAGAGCGGCTGGCTGCACCCAAGCGTGTTTGTGGGGACAGATGAGCCACAAATAGGAGCAGGCAGCGGAGCCGCCCGCAGAGGCCAGTGTGTGTCTGTGGACTAAGCTGAGCCTGCAGTGGGGTAGGGGTGGGGGTTTGGTGGGGAGACTGGTTGGGACTTCCCCCTTGTCACCACCCCAGCGCCACCTCCTAGGGGCCAGGCATGGTAGTTCTGTCTGCCCGCCCTGCACCACGGCCTCCTGAGCCGCCTTGGACAGAGAGCTGCGGCTGGTCCATCCCAGGCCCTCCGCGTTTTGGTGACCTGTCCCCTGCGGGCTACAGGCTGCATCTGGGTCCTGAGTAAGGCGGGGGGGGGGGGGGGGGTGCACGCCAGGCCTAGGGCCCCGGCCTGTTCCTGGAAGCTTGAGGGGGTGCTGGGGAGCACGCTGGCCTTCTCCCCAGGCCTGTGCGCAGCCCGGAGAGGGCTGAGGTGGCCAGGTGTGCCCGGTGCGCGGGGCCCCCAGCGCGCCCCCACCTGCCTGGCCGGAGTGCCTGACGCTGCTGCCGGAGCTCCTCCCCCGCAGCGGCTGCCCCCGAAGCGGCCTCCCGCAGGAGCTCCCAGGCTCCGCGAGGCCCAGGGCTCTCTGTTCCCTCCTCCTAGAGGCCCATGACCCGGCCGCGCTGCCTCCTCACTTCCCTGAGCCTCAGTTTCCCCATCGGTGACACGAGACTCCTGCTCCCTGGAAGGACTGTCGCGGGGAGCGGATGGGACATCGCTCAGAAAACAGTGACAGTAACAATCACAACGACAGGGACGATGGGGAAACTGCGGTTCAGGAGAGCTGACCTGCTCGAGGCCCAAGGCTGGCTTGCGGGGGCCGACGCCGCTCTCCCGCACCTGCCGCAGCCTAACCCTCCGCACCCCCAGGTCCTGGCTCCTGCTTTGCAGAAGGGCAGAGTGACCACGTGTCCCCAGCGGGCAGGCAGCGGGCTCTGGAGCCCTCACAGGGAGGGGCAGGGGATGGGTCGCCACCCTCCTCCGGGGGGGCTGGTGGGACGGAAGGCAGGCAAGCGTGCCCTTCTATTGCCCAAAGGTCCTGAAGCTGCGGCTTGCTGGGGCGTGGGGTTGGGGGGGGAGTTGCACGTGAGCAAGAACCCTGTCCTGCCCCACAGGGAGGGTGGGCAGCTGTGTTCACAGGCAGGTGAGCGAGCATCTGCAACCCGTAAATAGATTTATGGAAATGGTTTCGAATTACAGCATTTAGAAAATAAAAATAATCTCAATACAGAAGTCCCCTCCCCCCTACAGAAGCCATTTTTGTGCAGGTATATTCCACTGTTAAATAGTAATTAGGGTTTCTCCTATAAAAGAAGCAGGAGGTGTGTCCTCTCTCTAAAAATAAAGCTGCAATTGTCATTGCAATGAGAAGCCTGAGATTTAAGCCTGAGGAGGTGTCTGTGCGGGGGGGGGCCCGGCTGCCCGGGGGCCTGAGGGGGAGCGCCAGGGTCCCGGGGCACAGAGGGAAGGGGGTAGCAGCCGCCGAGTGGGCGCCACCCGCTGCTCCTTGGCTGCCTGGGTAGCCCTGGCCTGAGACTGAGAACCTGGAAGCTCCGCCTTGAGCCTCCGTACCGCCCCTCCCCATCGGCAGGTGGACGAGGGCGGGCAGACCGCGTAGGGGTGGGGCTCGCTGGAGGACCACTGGGCACAATGGGACGCGTGTGGCTTGGCCAAGGCCCTGCAGGAGCAGGCGTGGGCAGTGCAGGGGGACGGGACGGGCGCCTTGGGCTCAGGGTACCAGGCAGGTGGACACCCTGGTCCCTCTGGGTCGGCGGGCCCACGGGGAAGCCCTGTTGGGCTCCGAGCCCGGCCACCCTCCGACGGGGGACCCTGTCACCAGGTGTGCCGCAGGCGCCGCGGCTGCCCGCAGCGCAGACCACAACCGCACTTCCTGTCATCGTGCTGAACGGGCCTTCTGCTGTGGCTAAGCCTCCAGGTGGCAGCTCGGCGGGGCAGGCGGACGTGCAGGAGGAGAGCCTGCCCTGTCGGCAGCCACCTGGCCACCCAGGGCCCCTGCTGCCGAAGCTGACCCCTGGTGGCCCCGACGCGTGGGGGGGCCAACGTGGCCGGGACGGAGGCTCTGGATGTTTGGGAGTCTCCGCGGTGGCGGCAGCAGCTGATGAAATGCAGTGAACACCCTCCAGGCACCAGCATCTGGGTGGAGGGTGGGGAGTGTGGGCAGCCTTCCCGGGCGACCCTCCAGGCCCTGGAGGGCGCAGGAGCGCCTGGTGCGGGTCAGACGCCCGCCTTGTCGCTGTAGAAGGGTGTGACGTGGAACATGTAGCAGTGCGTGCACACACGGACCGGCTTCACCTGCCCGTAGCGGGGCAGCGGGGCTGAGTGCGGGGAGCAGCGGGAGCAGAAGATCTGGAAGGCAGCAGGCGGTGAGTGCGGGGGCCTCCGGCCCCAGCCGCACGGGGGAGGGCACCCAGAGGGCCCCGTCCGGGCCTGGGCGCCGCCGGCCTCCCTCGCCGCCCTCCCTCGCCGCCCTCCCGCCCTCCCGGGCCAGGTAGGGCGTTGGCGGGCAGGGCCTGCCAGCCACCGTGGGCCGCTGGGACCTCTTGGAAAACCTGGGGCAGGCTGTGGCTCTGGGAGGCCAGGTTCAAGGAGGGCGGCCCAGGTCCCACGCCAAGGCGGCTGCAGGCTCCTGTGCAGACTCTGCCCCCGCCCGGTCCCCAGCTCTAAAGCAGGGGGGATAGACACGGCACCATCCAGACCCCGCGGGCTGACTGCCCGGAGTCTGGGCTTTGTCTCCAGTCAGATCAGGGCCTGGGGTCGGGGCCTCTGCACAAGGAACTCGAGGTCCTTGCCCGCGCCCCCTGCCCCCGGGAATCAGCGTGCTGTCCAGACAGGCTGCCTGCGCCTGTGGCCTGGTCCCCAGGCCCCACCCACCTTCCCGCAGCTGCGGCAGTGGTGCTTCCTGCGGATGACCGTGAAGGGCGCTTTGCAGGCGGTGCAGAAGCTGCAGGCCTCGTCCGGGACCCACTCCGGCGGGTCTGCGATGAGAGAGTGGGGACGTGTCAGGCAGAGGGGCCTGAGGCTGCTCGGCAGTGGCCAAGGGGACGACCCGGCGAGCGCCCAGGGGGCCGGGGAGGGGAGGCCGGGACGGGAATTGACGCGCCCGGGGCCTGGGTGGGGGCGGCCGGAGGAGCGCGGTGCTGTGCTCCCGTGGTCTGGGGCAGAGAGGAGGCGCCCACGCGGGCCAGAGCGCACCACGCACCTTCCAAGTCCCCATCTCGGGTCTTGGCCGAGAGTTCGGACGACGACAGGGTCTCCTGGCACAGGGCGCAGTCCTCCAAGGCTGCGCTCCGCAGGGCCTGGGTGACTGGAAGAGAGGGGTGGCCGCGGGGCCCGGGCGCCGTCGTCTGCCCCGCGTCGTGCTCCTGGGCGCTGCCCGCGGGGCGCTGGCTCCCCTAAGCGGGGGCAAAAGTCCCACACCCCTCCCAGGGGCAAGGGGCGGGCGCACTGTGCTCGATCTGCCCCCGCTCCCGCACCAAGTTACCCAGTTCTGCGTGTGTGAGCCTGCCGTGTGGGGGTGTGCGGGCGCGTGTGTGAGAGCATGCCTGTGCGGGCGCGCACACGCGTGCACCCCGTGTCCCGGAGCGTGCTCGTGGGCCTGTGCTGCGTGCCGCGTGAACCCAGGGGGCAGCGCGCTGAGGGCTCCCCCCATCGCGTCGCAGGACCTGTGTCCCCTCTGACTCTGCCTGGACCCCTACCACCCTGACAGGTGGAGTTCGATGGCAGTGAGGTTGCGGCATGTCTGGGACTCGTCTAAGAAGACGGCGCTGTCCCTCTGCCGCCGTAGGAGATGTAGGAGGCCGGTGACTGCGCCGGCGTGTGTGCAAGAGCAGGTGCTGCCTCCCCAGGCCCGTGCATGGCCGGGGACCCACCCACAAAGCTGCAGGCGCTGGCCCCACGTCCCAGGCAGGTGGCCTCTCGGGGAAGCTCGGCCTGTGCGCCCCGGGGTCCCGGCGCGGCTGGGTGGTTTCGGCGTGGACTGCGGTGGCCGCGGAGAGGCCCTCTGTGCCAAGGGCCAGGATTGCAGGCTTCCACACACCCGTTCCTGCGGTGCCGAGCCCCACGACCCCACGGCCACAGCAGCGGTCCCAAGCTGGCACTCACCCTTCTTTAATTTCTCCTTGTCGTCCATTTCTGGCTTGGTGGCCATGACCTCAAAGAGGGTCTTGAGAATACTCCTCAGGTCACTGGCGTAGTTGGTCTGCAGCTGGTCAGCCACGCCTGGGGGAGGGGGACAAAGGGAGGGCAGCGTGGGCTGGCTGGCCTGGGGACTCAGCACGGTTTCACACGGGTCCAGACAACAACCGCTGCCCGGCCCCGGGGACACTCCGTTGGCAGAGGCAAAAACTCGGGGTACATCTCCTCCTCGGGGTCACAGCCAGCACCACTAAGCACTGCAGCCGCTCACTGAGGGAGGGTCTCAGAGCCCCAGCTGGGCCCGCGCCACAGTGGCCCCTGTCACTGTCCTGGCCACCCAGGCACCGCCGTGGCCCCGCCCCGCCCACCGCAACCGCTGTTGTCCCCACCCCCACCCGCAGAGGCTGCCTCCTTCCAAGGATCAGGTGGACTCGGCTGTGTCAGTGAACAGCAGGGGGCGGCGGGCTGCCACCCAGAGCAAAGCGGGGCGGGAGCTGTGCGCACCCCACCAGAACACAGACGCCCTGGGCGCCGGCCCAGTGACCAGGCTGCGGCCCACGCTCCCAGAGGGTTCCCCGTGTGCCCACTGCACCGAGCGCCCACCAGGCAGGAGGCTTCCTAACCATCCGAACCTACTGTGCGGCCCGTTCTCACAGATGAGCGAATGGAAGTGCAGAGCCACGAGGCCCTCCTGGCCACACCTGGCCGGGCTCAGGCTGTGCTGGGGGGGGGGGGGGGGGGGCGGTCCCGGGCAGTGATCTCGGGTGCCTGACCCTGATTCTGCAGTGACACCAGTCTGGGGGCTGCAGTGCAGCTGTGTCCCCCCGACCCCCCGCCCCTGCAGCCCTGAGCAGAGGAGGCTCCAGACAGGCCACCAGGCCCGGCCCCCTCCCCCAGGGGGTGGGAAGGGCAGGCGTGGGCGGGGACTTAGTGCTTTCTATACTTTTGAATTACGTGGCTGCTTACTTATGTAAAACACACAAAACTCAAGAACAGGACAAAGGTGCTTTTTGCTCTCCCCCCTCTGAATTCCCTGGGGCACAACGATACAGTCACCTTCCCCCACCCTCCGGCTGTGAACCATCCCAAGGGAGGAAACAACCGAGTCGGGACGCACAACGGAATCCGAACTGCAAGTTGAACAGAGCATCCCTGTGCAGGAAGTGGAGGGGCCCCTGCTGGGGGGCCCTGGCAACAAACGAAGCCCTCCTCTCCGCTGGGCACATGGGCTCCTCGCAGGGCTTGGGGGGAGGCGGCCTGTCACAGAGCGGAAGCCCCCAGGCCGGGCTGGCACCGCCCTACTGTGTCATCACGTTGGGTCTGCCTTCGGCCCAAGCTGACACCCCCCCAACCCCCGCACCAGCTGCTGCCCCGAAGCCCGGCCTCGTGTGGCCACAAGGCCACGCCCGCCCCAGGCCCGCACGTGGCACCTGAAATGCAGACGAAGAGGCGGTGGATCAGGTCATGGCTGCTGTGGAAGCGGGATCGCATCTTCTCCCTCGCGGCCGCAGGGACGGCCTCGGCCGCTGTCTCGTCGGAGGGGCAGGCCCCGGCCGCGGAGCCGCTGCACGGAGAAGCAGACACAGGGAGCGCAGGGTGAGGCTCGGCACGGCCGGGGCCTCGGTGCCCGGGACACCCCACGGCCCGCGCAGAGCTGCCCCTGGTTGCGCTCCGTTGGCAATGGGCGTCATGTGCTGCCTGCCTCCTGGGGAGGGTTCACGCACCTGCTCAGACTGTCTGCTGGCCCTGACCGCGGACAGGTGTCTCTGTGGGAGACGGAGGAGGAGCAGAGAGGCCCGGGGAGAGGGGAGGCTGCGTGACCGGACACAGGACTGGAGTGACGCAGCCAAAAGCCCCCGGACACCCAGGATCACCAGCAGCTGGAAGGGGCGTGCCGGCTCCTCGCCAGCCTCCAAGGCGTGTCACCCCCCTTTCTGAGGCCGCTGCTCGTTTGGGGGGTCACCCAGCAGCTCACAGTTGCGTCTGTGCCAAGCTAGGGCGTCCCCCTTGCCCAGCTGTGGCGGGGAGCTGTGGGCTGACCCTCCCATCCTTCAGTCCTTTATCTCCAGGCCCCGGTTTCTGTCATTTGGTCCTACTTTCTGGGAAATTTCCTCCATTTAAAAAAAAATTTCTCCTTAACGTTTTAACTTCCTGCTCTTACTGTAGTTTCATGGATGTGAAATTAAAATTTTTTTAAGAGATTTTATTTATTCTTAGAGAGAGGAGAAGAGAGGGAGGAAGAAAGGGAAATATCCCTGTGTGGTTGCCTCTTGTGCGCCCCCTGCTGGGGGCCTGGCCCGCAGCCCAGGCCTGGGCCCCGACTGGGAATCGGGCCGCGACCCACTGAGCCCCACCAGCCAGGTCTCCGTACAAATTCCCAGAAGCTGTGTTGGCCGCCTGCCAGACCCCGGTTCCCGCTTCCTGTGGAGCCGGCTCTTTCCAAGGCCAGAGGCTTGTCCCAAGAGTGGTCCTCGGGGGCGGAGCTGTCTGGCAAGCACCTCTCCTACTGTGGGGCCTAAACCGACCAGCGGACTTTGGAGGCTCCTTCTGGCTCCGGGCGACTACGTCAGGGGCGGCCCACTCCCAGCCGGGGGTCGCCGCCGCCCCGCAAACTGCGCCCCGCGCCGCACAGCAGCGGTGTGCACCGGCTGTTCCCGCAAACCCGCAGCGATGGGAACGCGCGGCGGCCCGGTTCCGCGGGAGCCAGCGGGCAGGGGGTGCGGGCGCGGCTCCCGCGGTGCGGGCGGGAGCCCCCTTACACGCCGTGGGGAGCGCAGAGCTGCCCACCGTCGGACGCGGGCTCACCCTCCAGGCGGCAGCAGAGCCACTTGGGAAGCGCAAAGGTGTGGCGCTGCTGGGCGCTGCTGCGAGGCGGGGGTGGGTGCCTCCCGTCCCTTTGTGAGCATTTACCCTTTCCCGGCGCTGGAGGCTGGGCGTGGGGCGGCTGGGCCAGGCCCAGGGCCTTCTGGCTCCGCTGGGACCCCGACCGCGACCGACAGCTCTCCCCTCCTGGCGTCTGGGTTCTGAAGAGGGAGCCCCTGGCAGGGTTTGGGGGGCGGCTGAGTAAGTTCGGGGGGTGGGGCCTTCACTGGCCAGGGTGTCACCTTCAAGCAGTGCCGCCCGCCTCAGTGACAGCTTCACCCAGAGATCTGAAAGCCGGGAACCGGACACTCCCACAGCAAGGCCTCGCTCAGCAACACCGGTAGGATCTGCGACTTCGAATGAGACGACGGAACGAGACCAAGCGCTACAAACAAGAGTGAGCTCCCTACGGGGACCCGCGAGTCGGCAGCCAGCCGGGCGCGGCGCCTCGAGGCGACTCGGGACCTGCGGCGCACACAGCCTCCCGCAGCCCCCGGACGTCGCCACGGAGGAACGACTCGCCAGGACGCGGCCCGTCCACTCGGCGGGATTTATTCAGCCTTAAAGAGGGAGGCCGGCCGGATGCCTGCCGCGACCCCGCGGAGCCCGGCGGACACGCGCGCGGCGGAACGAGCCGGGCACCCAGGGCGGACACCGCGATCCCGCTCCCGCAGGAGGCACCGGCGCGGTCGGAATGGCAGAGCCCAGCGGGTGGCGGCTCCCGGGGCGCGGGCGGGAGCGAGGGGGGGCGGTCTCCGTTTTTGCCGGCGAAAAAGTTCTGGAACGGGAGCGCGGCGCCACTGACTTGTACACCTAGAAGTGGCTAAACGGTGAATTTTATGTTATGTCTATTTCACCAAAATTAAAAAGTGGAAAGAAAAAGAGGTTGAGGACCAGGGGAGAACCGAGGAAAGCAGCTGAGGTCTGCCGGACCAAGAGGGCGGGGCTGGTCAGGTGCGGGAGGCCAGAGGTCAGCGGTCAGAGGTCAGAGCCTCCTTGGCCCTTCGGGCATGCGCACTACACGGCGGGCGGGCGCAAGTGGACAGCTGGGAGTGTGCACAGCGGTGTATTTATTATTGCATTATTTTCCACATAACCTACTGTAAACTGACTTTTGCCCTGCCCTGTATATCAATAAAGCTGTTATCTTTAAAGATCAATTATGTTAAGATAGGGTAGCAATACACAAACTGAAAATGAAATGAAGAAACACGCCTATTTTCAATGGTATCAAAAAGATTTAAATACTTAGAATAAATTTAACAAAAAGTGCAAAAACTAAAAACTATAAAGCATCACTGAAATAAAGATCTAAACGAACGGAAAGGCGTGCTGTGTTCGCAGACCGAGCACAGCATTAGGGTGGCAGGAGCCCCCCCAAGCGGTCTACAGGGTCAGTGCTCCGGCTCCCCGTACCAGCTACCTTTTCTCTCCATGCAGAAATGGACAAACGCGTCCAAAACTTCTATGAAAATGCAAGGACCCAGGACGACCAGAACAATCTTGAAAAAGCAAAAAGGCGAAGCTGGAGAACTCACGCTCGTGATTTGCAATGTAGAATGAAACTGCGCCAGTCGAGACAGGCACTGCAACAGTGGAAAGCTAGACCCTCCCAGGCACTGGGTCCCAGCGAGGGCGCCAGGGCCGCTCGGTCAGGGAGCGACAGGCACTCCCACAACTGGACCCCACGTGCCGAAGACTGAAGTGGGACCCTTCCCTCACACCATCTGCAAAAATGCATTCAAAATGGATCAAAGTCCTAAATGTAAGAGCTAAAATTCTTAGAAGAAAACATAAATCTTTGTGCCCTTGGATTAGGCAACAGTTTCTTGGATGTAACACCAAAAGCCCAGACCCGAAGGCAAACCAGGTACACCGGGTATCACAAGAAAACCTTTTGTTCTTCCAAAGACCCCATCCAGAAAACAAAGACAGCCCACAGGACGGGAGAAAATTTTGCAAATCATGTATCTAAATCTTATAACAAAAAGACAAATAACCCAACTGAAGATTGGGCAATGGATCTGAATAGATATTTTTCCAAAAAGATATACAAATGGTCAAAATGCATGAAAAAATGCTCAACATCATTAATCATTTGGAAAATGCAAAAGAGATCAAAATGACATATCGTTTCATACCCACTGCGTATTTTTTAAAAATTTAACTTTTAGAGAGGGGAAGAAAGGGAGAGAAACATCCATGTGTGGTTGCCTCTCATGTGCCCCCTACTGGGGACCTAGCCTACAACCCAGGCCTGTGCCTGGACTGGGAATCGAACTGGTGACTTTTCAGTTCGCAGGCCATGACTCAATCCACTGAGCCCACGCCAGCCAGGGCCCACTGGCTATTTTTTTAAAAACAGAAAAGTATTGGTGAAGATATGAAGAAATCAGAACCCTCGGGTACCCCTGTGGCGAGTCAGACCTGGTGCCGCCGCTTCGGAAGACAGCCCAGCAGCTCCTCATACCGTACGACCCAGCGAGTCCACCCTTACGTGTACGCCCAAGGGGGCTGAACACATGAGCACATACGTTTGCACAAAAATGTGTGCATGAATGTTCACAGAAGCCTCCAAGCCGAGACAACCCACTCGTCCGACAGCGGATAGATGCGTAAACAGGCAGAGCTATGGCCAGTGGGCTTTTCAGCGCAGAAAGGAGGGAGGCTCGGCACCCACCGCAACACGGGTGGACCCCGACCACCCGACGCTCGGTGGCCGCGGCCAGTCACAAAGGTCCCGCCCTGTGTGGTGCATTCGTGTGAAAAGCCTGGAACAGGCAGAGAGTGGCCTAAGAGGCGCCGGGCACTGGCGGTGGCTGTGTTTGCTTTCTGGGGCGACGGAGACGGTCCGATGTCGACGGCGGCGATGGTTGCACAACCCTGAACACACTAAAAACCACTGAACTTTACATGGAAATAAAAGTTTTTCTTGTAACCAGCAAGCAAACTCATATTCAAGAAATAGCTCAGCGGCCAAATGCCCAGCCACAGCGGGCGGCGCGGCGGGCTAGGGCGCAGCCGTTCGGCGCCCCCCACAGGACAGTTAGCGACGCTGCCGATGCTGCAGCAGCCCGTGTAACAGCAGCACTTGGAGAATTAGAAGTATCAGGTGTATGTGAGCAAGAAACGGGAAAGACCGTCAGGCAAGGCATTGTTGCATGTACTTGAGTAGTAGAACTATAAACAATTATTTTCCAGTGTCTTCTAGGATCAGGTGCTACTTTTGTGATCGGAGGAATAAATGCTATTTTCGGGAGAGAGGATGCGCGGCACCGCGGCCGGCCAGGGCCAGAGTCTGTGTCTGAGGGGGTCTCCGGGCCCAGCGAGGGCCAAAGCCTGAGGCGGCGATTAGCAATGCCGCAGTCGGGTGGACAGCTCAGACGGCCACCTGCTGTCCTGCCTGGGGACGGGGCTGCTGCTCTGCGGGGCGAGGCGGGGATAGAGGGGCCAGTCTGGGCTCCGGGCCTGAGGTGCTGCCCACGGGGGGCCCGCGGAGCCTGGAGGAGCCGAGGGGAGCAGAAGATCAAACAAGGCAGGTGGAGCCGGCGCTGCCCCCGGGGCCTGGGCTTGCGTTCGGTCTGGGCCTGCCCGTTCCCAGGGGCCGTGGGCCTGGGCGCTGTTGGGTACTGGGGACATGGCCCAGGGCCACATTTTTGGAAAGGCACTGATCCTCCGTGGGCAGTTGTGACGAGCACAGAG